CACTTTATAAGTAATTCTGTATTTGCCCAGGTTATTTTTTCTGGAAGTAATTTTCAAAGAGCTAAAAGAGCGCACACACAAAAGAAAAAAAAGCACCACAGCAAAGACACCTAAAATAAACCAGCACTGCTATTTAAGCAGTCTGAGAAAGTCCATATCAGGTGGGATTACAGAAACAGGCAAGAACTACACAGCTGAGGAGGTTTTTATTTCTTTAAAGAGCTCTCCCCTCTTAGTTTGTGTCCCTTTTCTGCACAGAACCCCTCAGTCCCTCCACTCAGAGCCTTCACCATCATTCATGCCTCCTCTTCTGCACACAGCCCACATCCTTTCTTCCCCTGAGCAGACTTAAACACTCTTGTTCCTCCAAAGAGCAATTTATTTTTCCTGACAAGGCCTTTTATGCAATTAGCTGGAGAAGCCATAGCCAAAAAGAAAGAATAACACATGTAAAACCACGCCAGAGAACAGAGTAGGTAGGAACTTGTTGAGTCTATTACCAGACAAAATGTTTAAATCAATGGTGTGTTCTCATAAATCAAAAGCCATATTTAGCCCTAACTATTACCATTCCTGAGCAATGTGGAATAGAGAGAAAACACTTAAAAAAAAAAAAGTGAAGCTCCTAAACAGGGAAGGGAGGAAGCAGCAGGTGAGACAAGCACAATGTAGGGTCATCTCCCAGAGAAAGAATGTATTTTACAGGTGAAAATGGAGGTGCCACAGCATTCAGGGCTGAGCAGAGCCTGCCAATCACCCCAACTTGTCCCAGTCTGGTGGTGATTTGGAGACATTACAGAACCATTTGAACCTAGTTAAAACTTGGACATTTATGTGGGGTTTGTGCTGTACAAATATTGAGCCCAGAAGAGCCAGAACTCTTTGCTACAGATCAGAGACAAAAGGATTTGCACTGCAGACCATAAAAGATCATTCTTTTTCAATTACACTTGACAGGTCTGAGTTATTGTAAGAGGAATAGGTTTGGAGCAGTAACAGTGAACCAGAGAACATAATGTAATTTGAGAAACAGCACAAAAAGCCCATCACATCCTTTTCTTTTTCAGCTGGGAGTGCAAGATCGTATCTTTTCACCCCTCCATCCTTGTTCATCCCTTTACTCTTCCACTTGAGCTGCTTTGATTCAGATTTAGGGCCCCCATTCATCCCAATTAGATGGCTTTTCTGTAAAGCTGCTTTCCAACCCTTGTTCTGCTTCCATTGACAGGATTTCACTGCTTTCCAGAAAACTAATGGATTTCTCACATATCACAATTTCTAAAGGTCCCTTCTTCAACAGCATTCTCCTCAGCACAGAAACCTTGAGCAGTTGTGTTAAAGCAGTGGCTGTGACCCAAAGATGGATCTTTTTGCCTGCTGTGAGCTCCAACATATTTATTTGCAGCAGTGCAAGCACGGCTCCCAAGCAGAGGCTGCTGCTCGGTGCCTGGGAACAGAAAACGAGGAGCAGGTCACTCACAGGAGCCATCCTCAGCTGCCTGCCTGCAGGGTTTGGGCTCCTTAGGGCCTTCCCAGGCTGCTGCTGGGGTTTGTCTCAAAAGGTGGAGGTTTCTTCCTAGCCCTGTCCTTCCATCTCCCCTTATTTACTCTGTTCAGCCACCGAGTCCAGTCCCACCATAGGATTTTATAAACTTCATTTGTTCCTTTAGGCAATTGGTTTTACTGGAACTGCATCCTCCCTAAGAAATCCAAGACAATTTGCTTCTGCTTTTGCTTGCAGTGCTTAGCACATTGTCAGCACTCCCACTGAAGCAATCACACTGAAAATAAGAGTTGCTCCTTCCAGTTCTGGCATTTACACATTTTTATGAGACGCTGGAAAAGTACAGTTGGATTTTTCCCCCTTGCAAATGCTGAGACAGTAATAAGTAACAGATTCACAGAGTTCTGACTTGGATCTAGGTGTCTCTGACATGTACCATGTCTTTCAAATATATTACACACTCTAATGCTCCTGTTATCAAGAGCTTAAAATTTTACATTCTCCTCTCCCCATCAGCAGTGGAACCAGGGAGGATTCCCACCACAAAGCTCCCCTCCACACTTCCCACAAAACAAAGCAGCCTGCTGGGGCTCCAGTTGGGAGCAACTTCTTGCATCATCTGGGATCATTTTCTTACCCTATTATCACCTCTAATCACCAATACTTCAGTGTTTCTAGGAAGTTTCAAAAGGGGAAGGCGTTTAAAAATTATTTGAACGAATAATATTGTGAATCAAGCTCAGAATCACTCCACAATGTTTGGGACCTCCTTCTAGTCCAAGAGCTGTTCACGGGACACGCCTGGTGGGACCCTCTTCAGCCATAGATGAAGTGTAGCTTCTCTGATGGCACAAAGATACAGGAATTGAAAATGATAGAGTAGCTTGGGTAAGAAGGGACTTTGAAGATCATTTAGTCCCCACCCCACACTTTCCACTAGCCCAGGTTGCTCCAAGCCCCATCCAACCTGACCTGGGACACTTCCAGGGATGGGGGGCAGCCACAGCTTCTCTGGCTGCTCATTTTATCCTGGTGTTTCCAACTGCAAACCAAAGAATTTAGGTCCAGTTGAATCCAAATTAACATCCTAAGATAAATGCATGAGCCAACCCATCGTGATGGCTTTGACTAGAACGCTGCCAGAAAGTGAAGAGGGAATGAAAATTGAGATTCATTATGTTTAAAGTGGACTTTTGACCAGGAAGATGAATGGCTGCATTTTTCTGGGCAGATTTACAGGCCAAATGAATCCCTGGTTTAACCTCTGAACTCGGAGGGTTTCGTAAAGGGAGGAATTTGCCTATCGGGGTCACGCATGGGAATTCCCAGGCATTACAAGATTGAAGTTGTGGTCATTTCAACCTAGAAGAGAAAGAGGAAAACCCACAAGAGGGTGGGTATGGAAATAAGGTTTAAAAGTGCTCCTTCCAGACCATCAGACAGCAATGGATATGCTTACAAAAAAAGCAGATGCCCTGGAAGCATCAGAACATCAAAATGTTTGGTACTCTCTGCTCTCAGATCACTGATGACCATGGAAAATCACATCCTGCAGTGCCCTCAACTAGAAAATCCCAGCCATCCCTGACTGCTTAGTAAATGCCTGACCCTCTTCCATGGAAAGATGGTCACTGTCTTCTCTTCACCTCATTTTTTGACATAAGCACCTACTGAAATTGCTGCCAAAAAAGGTGAGAGGAGCCACATCACCCCAAACAACTGCACCAGCTCAGAGGAGGAGAATCACACAGATAATACAGATTATAAACCAGAAAACCCTTCCCAATTTCACAATATGGTAGAATTTCTACAGCACTCAGATATTCTCATCATACATACTCAAAGGTAAGTATCACAGAGTGGTTTTGGTTGGAGGGAACCTTAAAAATGATTTTACTCCAATCCCCCACCATCTCCAAGAGCTGTAAATGATTTAAAAGTGAAAAAGGGAGTACAAATACCAAATGTAACATGAATAAATATTGGAATCTGATCCTGGTATCATGTTCAGTGGGCTCCCAGCTGATTCTTCACCCCAGTGCCTTTCCTTCCTCCCAGCTGGCACTGAAGTAGCAACAGCCTCAATTACAGATTTTGGGAAGTTTTTTACTGTTACCAGACTTGTAGCAGCATTTAAGGCTGCACTTAACATAAAACTGAGCTATTTTCTGGCTGTCTGTAAAAAATGGAACACAAGCTAACATTAAATAATAGATCAGGCATGGTTTTGAGGCCAAAATCCCATTCTTAGTGGATTTTTAAAAACACACTAACAGGGACAGCCCTTTGTTGGTGTAGGCTGGTTTCTGGGACTGCAGTGACCAAGGATTTGCATCTGTTTGCATATAGAACTTGTAACTGTTGAACAAGCCAGAGCTCCCAAGCACAGATGAATGTTTGTTGATTCTGTCCTAATTGGTGTTGCATTAATACCAGCAAGAGATCCCAACCCTGCACGTGGTGCTACAGAAACAGAACAGATGCTCTGTTCCAAAGATCTCAGCTTAAAACTGAGCCTGCAGATTAACACCAGCCTAGCAAAGTCCCTTAAGGTACCAGTTGTTTAAAAAAAAAATGAAAACATTTTTAGGAATAGTGTTGACCTTTCTGAGGTCTTTTCTTCTCCAGGGAAATTTAATTTCATTTATAGGAAATATAACCGTGCTATTTGAAAGTAGCACGAGGGTTTTTCTGCACTGCTAAAATTTTCTTTGGAACAGAAAAATTTTCCTGATTTTACCAAACAGACAGAAAATCTTACAGATATATTCCACCAAGCAACAAAAGGGAGAGAAGTTAAAGGGTTTTATCAGTATAAATTACCTTGGGGCTGAAGTTATTTTCTGTATCTTTTAATCCCTTTCTGAAAGGTCTGGAAGCTCCCTGTGTTACCCATGAAACATTCCCACAAAGTCATCAATCACCCCTTCCCAGCTTCCATCACCATGAAGTCCACTGGAAATTTAGGAGTGGTAATCCTGACATGGAAACACAGTCTGGAACTTAGAGATTAAATTCTGATTTAAGCAAAATAAATCTTCTCTTAAAAAAAAAAAAAAAGAATTAGATGTTGAAAGCAGAGAGTTGTGCTGTGAACATAAAATAATGTAAAATAACATAATAACCATTCCCAGAATGGTTTGGGTTGGAAAAGACCTTAAAGCTCATCCCATCCCACCTCCTGCCATAGCAGGGACACCTTCCATTATCCCAGGTTGCTCCCAGCCCTGTCCAGCCTGGTCCTGGACACTTCCAGGTATAAACACTTTAACCTACATCTCTCAGCTAGGAAGGAATCTGCAGTCCTAGGATTTTCCCTGAGAATTTGCAGTTTTTGTTGGGCCGTGGGATAAGAGACATGGATTGGTAACTGTCTTAATTAACTTACAGGACAGAAAACACTGCCATAAGAAGCTTCCCTGCTATCTAACATCTTTATCAACTAGGTGAAAAATGATGAATTCTAATTCCTCTTCCACATTTGTTTCTCCCACAGGCATATCACGGGCAGGTTTCCTGACTATCCGCCTGAGAAGACAGGTGGTTCCCAAGCTATTTTTATTGAAAAACATCCAGAGCAGGTACTGTCCCTCTTTTAATGAAAAAAAATTCATGATGTTAGAGAAAGATTTGCCACAAAACATGTCTGTTTATTTAAGTAGCAATTTTCCCTAACAGTGGCTCTAGTTCTCCAAGAACCTCATGGTTAAAAACTTTTGTTTGCAAACAAAAGAATGAGGTTTATTTCCCAGGCTGTTTCCAGTCAGGTACCAAAATCTGTTCCCTTTCAGGCTGTGCTGCCACTTAATTACGACTGAAGGTGCTCAGGTGATGGAAGAGAAGTAGAGAACAACAGCAGAGGAGAGCATCCAATGCAGGCAGGGCTAAGCCTTGATTTACTGCCAAGGCTAATTAAGCAAATTTAACATCACAGAGAAGGAAGTATCTCAGTTTATCTTGTGTGTTGTAGGTTGTTTTTCCTGGTAAATCACCCTCCTGATTTCTCTGGCTAATGGAAGTGGCTGATAATCTCTTCCTCTGATCACTGAGTGTCACACAGGGAAAGTGATGAAGCCCAGCTGAAGGCATTGCTGGGCACTTGGAGCCCTTCCCACCCATCCCGAGCAGCCAAGGGGGCAATGGGTCTGTTGGGGGAGAACAGGAAGCAGGATTTGGCCCCTGAGCAAACCACTGTGCAGGGCTAGCAAAATTAAGAGGTCAAAACCTGAATTCTGTGGTCCTGAAAGCCTCACCCCTGAGACTATTGCATGATTTTTCTGCAGTTGGTGCTCTAACACAGGTATGGTAAAAGAGGATTTTTATAGAAGGGATGTAAAAATCATCTCATTGCAGCTACCCTGACACCTTCCACTAGTCCAGGTTGCTCAGAGCCCCATCCAGCCAGGCCTCAAATGCTTCCAGGGATGAGGAATTTTGGATCCAGTCCTCCCTGGGATCCCAGGGAGGGTTTGGGGGTTTGGGGGGATGTAAGGACAGCACGGAGCACAGCACTAACCATCAGCTAACTTTGCTAAAAACACAGGAAAACTGCTGCAAACAGCTCCCTGTGTCCCACTAAAACTGAGTTTGGGGCATGCTCCTGATTTTAGCCAAGTTCAGGGGCTAAACCCTGCTGGGCTCTGCTCTGCTGTTCAGGCAGGCAGAGGGAAGGAGACTCTTAGTGAAGTTTTCAGCCTCCAAAGCAGAAACACGTGCCAGAGTCCAGAAGGCTTTGTTGAGAGCCACCCAGCAAGTGGGGCTGATTGCTGGGCAAGGGTTTGGGGAATGTGATGCCAAAGAGACCTGCCAGCATCAAGGATTAACACAGCTGGGGAAGAAAACATGACAAGGAATTATTCTGTGCAACACTGGATATGGAGGTAGATTCTGGAGAAATGGGTTTAACCTTCCTGTCATGCTCCCAGCTTGCAATTTCCACGTTCAGCTGTTTTGTTGCCTTTCCTGAGCATCTGCTTTTTCTTTGCGTGGAAAAAAATGGAAGCCAAAAGTCTGGAGAAGTAGTTTTACTGCTTATTTTCCCTGCTGCACCCTGGAAAAAAGCCTTCCTCTATTTTCCTAACAAATTTTCACTAGCAATTATCTGATTTTCACCAATTTTGAGGTCTGGTTTTTTTCTCCCTTTTTAGCCAGCAGAATGTGTGTCACAGCCTTAAGAGATTCCACAATGCAGCTGGCCAGGGAAGGTTCAGTGCAGTCATGATTTTACCTGAATGTCAGACAAGTTAAACATTTTTTGTTCCACTGAGTCAGCTGCATATTAAAAAAATCCTTGAGGCCACCAGGTTTATTCCACACACTGGTCTACTGGGCAACGTAGGAAAGGAAATCCTGGCCCCATGGAAGCTGATGGGAGTTTTGTCCTTGACTCCAGGGGGGACAGGAGTTCACCTCTTGTCTGTATGAGCTCCTGTATGAGCAGGGGTTGGTTACTCTAAAGTCAAACTCCATGAAAAATCAAGACTGAGCTGTATTTAAAAAGTGAGCATTTTATAAGGCTTCAGTAAAGACACTTTGGGGAAAATAAAATACAAATTAATCACTTCACAAACCATTGCCGCATTATTATACATTCTATATTTCTTGATCCTTTGACAACCCTGACCTTACTTGACTTTGTTATGTAGCTGGCTTTCTGCATAAACTGCTTCCATGACATTTTATAAATACCTTCCCAAAGACATCCCAATACAGAGTACTTGGTGCTTCAGTCAGAAAAAGAAATCACTTCTTTTCCCTTGACTGAAAAGAAGCTTTTTCACTACTTACTCTTCAAGAGAAATTTAACATTCCAGGACATTGCTGTAATCTCCCTGCATCTGCTCCAGATTTCTATCCCTAATGGTTTTTTATGTTTTGCTCCACAGATAATCATCAGTTGTGACAATTTTTAGCTTTGCCCTTATCCTGCTGCCAACAAAATTATGATCTTTTCCTGTAGTTCATTAAGTCTCATCACCATGAAAAAAAGCCAAGAGAGTTGCCATTTCACAGGCATTTCCCCCTCTCCCAGCTCCTCATTTCCAATATTAAATAACATTTAAAAAAAAAAAAAAAAAAAAAAAAAAAAAAAAAAAAAAAAAAAAAAAAAAAAAAAAAAAAAGGTGTCATAGAAGAACTAAAAGCCTTAAAATATTCTGAATATTTCAAATTAACCGTGAAGGAGGAGGGAAACTAGGGAAACTCTATTTGGCCTCTGTTAAATTACCCAACACTTAAAATATTCACCTACAGACAGCAATCCAAAAAAACGCCAAAAAAAATCCCCAAAAAACCACACCAAAAATCCTCCACGAAGAAGAAACATTTCCTAGATTTCAATAAAACTTCTTTCTGTAGAGTTAATATTCCAAGAGAGGAATTTTTCCTCCAGGAACACTGGTCTGTGTCCCTGTAAAGTGTTAAAGCCAGGCTCTGAGGCTGCTCTCACCTGCCACAGGTGGAGATCCAGCATTCCCGAACTCACTCTAGCCCTGCTTTTCTTTTGTGCCCACAACTATAAGGCAAGAAGTTTCAGGTAAAGTCTTCTTTCAAGGAATAAGGGAAGGTTTTATTCCTGAAGAACTTTTACCTGAGCCAACACCAAAACTTCCTGTGTCTAAGGACAGCAGAACAAGTGAATCCTGCTGGCAGCTGGAAGTTTTCTTATGCTTGGATCATATAAACCAGCATTAGACATTTTAATTCATAGGCTACACTCTGGTTTAGTGCCCAGTTCTTCCCCCAACAAAAACAAAAAAAAATGGAGATTTGCACTGCAAGATTTTAAAAACATGGTTGAACTGATACAAGAATACAAAAGTCTATTTAACTTTTATGGAGCACCAGTTTTAAAGGAAAATGTCTTTTCAGCCACTGAAGAAAATGTTACTGGAGAAAAATCATCACTGGCACAATAGGAGTTCTAGGAAAGACTGGGAAAAAATACAAAGAGGCTAAAATTCATCTGCTCCTATTGAAACACAGTCTCTTCCTCTTGTATTAAGAGTTTGCTAACTACTTTCTGTATCATTTCAAAAACAGACAACCTAGCAAAGAAAAGGGAAGTCCAGAACAACTTCCGAAGACATCTACTTCTCTTTCCACTATGAAGTTTTCTCCAGGAAAAAAAAAAAAAAAAAAAAAAAGAAAACAAAAACTACATTAAAATGTGGGCGAATTGCCTACTAATCTCAAACTAACCTTTGCTTGCCATTCCATTTCTTCCCTCCTGTTTTGCCAGATTGTTCAGGCATCTCCTTGCAGTTGGAGGGGAAGTGGTTCTGTATAAAAGAGCAGAAGCCACTCAAGGTTAGACACAGCTCCCCCCCAGCTCTGCAATCCTGGAGCTGCTTGGAGCAGAGCTGGAGGAGCTGCAGCAAGGACAGGCAGAGGGACAAGGACATTTCAGCTGCTCAGTGCCATCACAGCAGGTTCATGAGAACACAAACTCTGTCTCACCCCTTCCAGTATCATTCATCTGTGCAGAAATATGAAAGCAGATCACTGCACTCAGGGTCTGGATGCACTGAAATACTGCCTGCAGAATGGTTCTGCTGCAAATTGGAACCTTTTGTCAATCACTTGTGTGTTTGCAGGTGTTCTACTGGACAAAGCCACCCCTGAGATGCTGGGACTGGTTCTGGTTCCCCTTTGCAGGCAGACCAGAGCAGAGCAGAGGTGACAAGGTTGGGTTTCTGGCTGTGTAGGAGCACTGCAATAAAGGATACACTCAGAGTAGCTCTGTTGGTTTTGGATCCAAGAGGCCTGCTGGGACACTAAAAACCTATTCTAAACTCCAGTCAGTCTGGTAATCTATCCCAGGGAATGAAATGCTTCGCTGCTTATCACCACAAGATGTGACTGAGCAGTGCTCAGGGCTTGAATTACCATATTTAATTAAATGTAAGGTACTGAAATGCTTGGGGAGAGCCACTAATGGAACTGCTCTGGCTGCATAGCACAGCCCTTGTCATTGTCCCCTTCCAGCATCCAGTGCTCAGTACATTAAAAGGTATACTTGAGAAAGCAAATATTTTCACTGTTACAGGAAACACATCTTACAGTTGGAAATGTTTTATTTTCTGTTCTTTCGCAGTACTGCCAGTGTTAGTGGTCCATTAATAAACTTCAATGGATTTTCTGATTTAGACTCATTAGTAAATGATCTTAGAATTCCTCTCAGGGACAAGAAAGCTGCCTAGAAACAAGAGAATGGTGGAAGCAGCAAATTTTCACTCTGTGCCTTTTTCAGATAATAAAGTATAATTGGCCAGGAACTAAAGATATGGGAATTGATGGAGCTGTACTCAGTTATCAGCTGCTGCTTGCTTGCAGGGATAAAGATGCTGAGCTATCCCTGTGTATCTGTCAGGGTTTGCCACAATATCTCCATCCAATCTCCCTCAGCCACTAGAACAATTTCAGTCTTTAGCCGTATATTGAAATTAGACACACCTCAGGGCAGCCTTTTAAAATCCATCCCTATAAAAATCAATCTGCCTTACAAACACCAGGACAAATTAATCATCTGGGTCTGAGATAATTCATTATGAATTCATCATCTGGGTCTGAGCCCAGAGGGAACTTTGAGTTGTGTGTCATTAGAATATTCAGCTTCTGGACAGCTTCAGGAACTGGTCCTTCTCCATAAAAGCCCCCATGAGATAGGACAGAAATCAGCCTTTCCCTAATGATAAATTGGGATATTCAGCACCTGTGTTGGAGTTGGTCAGCACAAAGAGGCTTCTCTGTGGTGGTGTGGAATTCAGAGAGTGCAGCCTTTTGGATATGGTGTTTTCCCAATCACATTCCTCCCTGCCTCTTTCAGGTCCTTGAAGAGCTGGCTGCCAAAAAGGCAGAGGCAGAGAAAAAAGAAAAGGAGAAGAACGAGAAAAAAGACAAGGAAACTGCCAAAGTGAAAAAGCCACCAAAAGTCGGGAAGCCGGTAAGGAACGACAGCAGGTTGTGAAGCCTCAGGTGTGGGCAGATGCCATGAAGTGACATTAAAGTGGTCACCAAAGCTCCAGGCTCAGGTTCAGGAGACAAAGAATTGTCTGAGGTTGGTCTCTCTCAGCCTTTCCATGACCTCAATGATTCTGGGGAACTTTTTACCTCTCATATTTTAGGAATGGCCATGACTGAGCTCAGTGGGAAGAGCTGATGGAGGTGCAGACTGTCAGGGACATAAATGAGAGCAAAAATCCACTCTGGGGCTTTGAGATCATTGCCAGGACAATCAGACAGGGAACAAAGTGGTAACCAAGCATTCCTGCTGTTAATGTGGGTACAGAGGAGTTCATCACTGCCACCCCTTGCAGAATTAGGAATTAAGAGCCTCAGAGCTTGTGTGGATTTCAATCTAATTTTAAAACCTCATCAACCATGCATAAATAAAGTCATGCATTTTCTATGTTCTTAGAGTGGGAACTAGTTTTGTTTCAAATGTCAATAGACACCACTAAATGTACAATATACCCCCTGAAATCTTTGAGGTAAAGGTCTGCTTTCACAAAAGACACTTCCAAATTATTTCAGGAGTAGCTTCACAGACCAAACCACCTGTGAAACAGAGCAGTGACCAAAGGGCATCTTCAAAAGCAAGCTGTGCAACAAAAATTGTCAGCTTTTGCTGAAGCAGCAGCTTTTGTCTCTCATTTACTTCCACAGTATAAATAAAATTTTAAACAATATATATTTTTTTAATAAGGGTCATTAATCTCCCACTAAATATGTGGAGGAGAAGGGTGAGTTTTCTAGGGCAAAGCTTACTCTTCGCTGCAAGTTTTACACAAATTAATTTGAAGGCCTAACCCTAGAACAAATATAGTCCAAAAAAAACCGATGCTTTTCTTGGACTACATCCATTAGCCTGGCCAAAGCTCTGAGAACATCTAGCCAGGAACCTAAATGACATGAATTTAGGGAGCATCAGTCAATTTAATTGGAAGGTAGATACCTAAATATTAACTTGTAAATTAGCATCTTGAAAACACTGTTTGGGGGGTTGGGGTGTTGGTTTTTTTTTCCCTTTGTAAATGAAAATACACAGCAGGCTGAAGGAACAAATACATGAATGTTTTTCAAGGTCTTTAAGCCCAATTGCTTAACTTTGGTAACTAGGAAGGGTTGTGGCTGCTCCTGTGTGAACAGGAGGTGTTTTTAAGTTCTGGTCACACATGTCTTCAGCCAATCACTTGTTACAGTGACCAGTTTGTTGGGTGACACTGTCACAGCCCTGGTGAAGCTCCTGAAACTGGATGGCACCTCATCCATCCGCTTTAAGACCTGACTTTTACAGGACAAAATTTGATTCCTTCCTGGTTTTACACATTTCTGAAGATAAGAACCAACAGCAAAAATGTGTCTCAGTCCCCTGGCAGCCTCTGCGAGGCTGTTTTGAATTGGGGTGAAGTAACAGCATGGAGCTCTGGAGTTTTATAACTTCATGTCATTCCCATCTCCTCAGCCATCACAACTCCTGTCAAGTAAAATTCTGAGCCATTATATCAGGTTCTCTATGGTTCACTGAGAAACAACAAAGGGAACATTCTCTCCAAGGTTATAGCACTGACAGGGGAAAAAAAAAAGAGTATCTTAGACCAGTTGAGAAGTATTTGGAAAAGTTCTAACAGCAGGACTCTTATTAAAATAAGTGTAGGCTATAAGTCATAGGGATGCAGGCAGAAAAAACCTTGCTCCCAACTTCAGCTCTTAAAGAAAACAAAAGTTGGATCCCAGAAGGAAATTTAAGCATTTCTGAAAAGCCTGATAGCAATCTTTACAAAGAGTATTTGATATCAAAGGAACTTCACTTTCTTTTCTCTGCAAGGTGCTGATTTGATTTCCCTGAGGAAAAAAACAACCCATGGCTCCATTCCCCCAAAAAATCCCTCTTTCCAAAAGCAGCAGCAGTCTGGGCTGCCTCACCCTGCAACCTGCTGGAGCTTGTCCCACTGAATGTGAGCAAGGCTGTGCATCCCTGAATTTCACCCAGAAATGCCAAACACTGGGGCACACTCCCATCCCTAGTGAAACCTCTTAGGAAAATCTCCAAAGGAAATGTGCACAGTGGAGCCAATTCAGTTTTCCCTGCTGTCCAGTGGGAATCACCTGGTGTGGAGCTGGCTTTGGAAAGCCTCAGAAATAGACTGAGACACTTATTTCTACATTTCTGCTTAAATTCAAATATATATTGCTGGTTCAAGGGGTCTTAACACATTTAAAACAGAACAAGCATAGGCTCAATGCACTGAAAATCAAAAAATATATGAACTGGTTTCAAAGGAAAAGCTCTTTTTATTATGTTGACTCTTAGGCTATTAATTGAGGCAAGAGAAAACAGAACTGCAACTGTCCTTAAGACACAAGAGAGTGGGTTTGATTAAAATCAATTAAATTGACACAATGATTTCATTGACATCAGTCTATAAAATCAGTGAAGCAAGTAACTAAAACAATTCACTGGCTTATTTATAACAATAAAATGTTGATGTGTCCTGTGGTATTGAGAGGCTAAAAATGAAAAACCCATTTTTAGGCTGGTTTGGGGGGAATTAATTTGTTGGGGTTTTTAATAGTTGACACATTTCCTCTCAGAACATCATGGATTAATCATTTTCTATAAAATACCATGGAAAAATGGTAAAAGGATTCTGCTCACTTCAAATGATCCAAGAATGAACCTCAAAGTGCCACACCCTGTGAAACTGGGAATACATTGGAGTAACTGGGGATTTAAGCTTTTTTTTTGCACTTTAAACAAAGTTCTAAAACAAAACAGTTCTTGATGTTCAGACAAGAACCTCCCAAGTCTTTTTCAAATCCATTTATAGGGTAGAAGTGACAAATGTATTTAGATTATTCCTGTCCTTCTGGGCCCAAACTGGAATTACTGTAATTAAAACCAGATATTTGATACTTTAATTAAAACCAGATATTTGATAACTCCCATAATGGGGCTGCAGCTGTACCTGCAGGTAGTAGATATTTCCATAATTATAAGGCTTTTTTGGGGGGGATTTAGTTTTAACCATCCCAGGAGCTGCAATTTTATAACAAGTGGTTTGTAGGTTATTTAGCAAAATCCTGATCCTGTCTGGTATAAATTCACATTCAATTCCTCCCCAAACAGTGATCTAATCTCTCTTTTTTAACTATTACCTTACTCACATCTTGATACTTATGACTGATACAAGATGAAGAAACTTTGATAATTTTCTGGGAGGTTTTTCCCTCAGAAATACTGGTTCAGTGAAATAGAACTGTTTCAGGAATATGACAATAGCAGCAAAAATAACTGAAAAAAGGCATTTAAATTAAATTCCACTTTAATATTGCAAGTCTTCTACCTAAATTACCTTTTCAAACAAGCTGGAGTATAATTATTGTTTAATTTGGTGACTTCAGCTGATAAAATGACAGCCCTTCTCTCATGGAGCAACCTGGGCTAGTAGAAGGTGTCCCTGGTCATGGCAGGGGCTAGAATGAGGTCTTTCAGGCCTTTTCCACCCCATTCCATAATTCTGTGAAACAATGCTCTCAGCAATTCCTCTCTTCACTTTCCTCCCAATCTAGGTAGTGGATGAACGCTGGAAAATAGGTCCAAGCAATTTCCTTTTGATGCTGGAGGAAGGAAGCTCTCAGTACCGAGGTCAGTAGAAAAAGGTAACAATTCCAGCTGGAATGTTCTCCCAGATCAGCTTAATGGGAATGTCATTCCTATAAGGTCAAGTGGGCAGCTGCCCAAAATATGGAACATTATAAAAATTAAGATGTTAGATTTTAAAATGGAATTTAGGAAGGGAGGCTCTCAGGACCTTAATTCTTCCAAGGAATCTGTCAAAACCATTGAGCTAATCATATAGGAAGGGACATTTCTGTGGGTGAAAGTGAACAAACTCGCAGCAAAGTGCTTCAAGAAGCAAAAAAATGACATTTTAGGATTTTCTGAGGGCAATGAGGATGACATCAGAATAGCCAATAATTCAAAAGCACCATACTGTACATCAGGTTTAAGCATCAGTGTTTCCATATTTCTGTAACTCTACCTGTCCTGTCTCCTCCAAGAGTGAGAACTCATGGAAGAGTCCATGGATTCCTTCACAGCTACTCCAATTATTTTTTATGATATCTTTGAATAGGAGTAGCATTTTCTCAAGCAGAGGCTCAAAACTGTGCATGTACTTGTTTCACGCTAAGTGTGTGAAACTAAAACATAACCCAGACTTTCAGCAAGGGGCCTGGCTGGTTTTTCAACTTGAGAAAGCACCAAAAAGCAGGGATTTCTTAATAAAAATCATGAAAGGGCATATTGTTCATTTCCAGATCTCTTCTGTCTTCTCTGCTTTTGTTACTTCTGTTTATCTCCTCAACACTTGTCCTCGGTGCTCAGCCTGATTCACAAGTGAATTAGGAAGTCTTGCACTTGTCTGAAGTGGAAAATGGGGTTATTTTTGCTGCATTTCTGCAGATTCTGTTCTGATACATTGTGGAAAAATATCTTTTCTGCTCTCCACCCTTCAGAGCTAGTGCCTTGCTAAAATTTCTCATATGAAAAGTCTCCATTATTCCCTCCTGCTGACAAATTACTGGTGTCAAGTTTTCTGCCTGATTTGAGCTGGCTGGAGAGAAAGAAGTGAACTTAAACTTGCTAAATGTGTATCAGTAGTTTGGCCTGACCTCTGACTTGTAACAATTAGGATTTTCTTACACCTTATAAATCACAGAGCAGCTTTCTGGCTAAAAAAGGGAGCTTTGCATCCCATCTGCCATGTCAGAACCCTGCTGAAGGCAGCAGGAGCTCTAGATAAGCATAAAATCCATCCAAACTTCTTTCCTTAGCTAGCCTAGGATGAAATGGCACCGGGAACTCAAAACCAGGCATGGCAAGAGTGGGGCTCCCATCCAGCCAGTGCCCAGGGCAGGGCAGCAGCAGCAGAAGGGAGGCAGGAGGGCTTTGCCCTGGAGGAAAACTGCTTGATTGTAACCTCAGCAGAGCAGGGGAGGAATAAAAACAGAGTGAGGAATAAAAACACCACAGTGGTGACTTTGCCAGCAATGGAGACTCCCAAATTTCACAACTACCTCATGTGATAAGCCAGGGGCTTTATGAGGAGATGGGGGATTTGTCACCCAAACTATCTGAACACCAGCTCTGCCATTCCCAGCAGGACAACTGCTCTGAGCCCTGCAAACACAGAATTTTTGGGGTTATTCCCACAGTGTGAGTGCCTCTGTGATTCCCATTTCCCAGTTACACACCCACACATCTCTAGCCCATCCTGCTGGAGCTGCCAGCTGCTCTCCAGCTCTGAAGGCACATGAGAAGGAGCCCTTTTCTGCACAGAGCACAAGCAGGAACCCTCAGAGTGGGAAAACTCTCTTGCAGGCTTCAAAGAATACCTGCAGTTCTGGCTTAGGCACAGGAGGAGTCTGTAGCTGTGCACTTCAACTTCAGATGGGCTTTTTTTTCCTCCTTTTCTCCCAGTGAACCAGGTCTATTTGACACCACATGTATTTTTAGTAAACAGCTGTTAATTCCTCCTTGCAGCACAATCCTCCTGCAGCATTTTGGGCTTTTCATTGCAGGGCACTCACACAATACTACCTGGGGGTTGTCCAAAATGGTTTTATTTTTAATCTAACCATGGATTCTTTGAATCAAATTCTCTCATCAGGATCTAATCTGCAACAACATCCACCCAGAACAGCACCAGCAGTCTCTTGTATTTTTTTATTTTAAGCTGCTTTCCTCTCAGTCACAGAATTATGCAGGAAAAAATAGATCTGAGTTTGGACTTTCTATTGAGAACATTTTTTTCCCTAATCTTATTTGAAATAGGTCACTTGCTATCATCATTTGCACAGAAGTTCAGATTTATTAGTGCAGAAATCTTGAAAACATGATTGAAGCAACAGAGCTTTATTAAGAAATTTTTTTATCAGGAGTAATTCAAAGCCCCTTATAAGTGTGTCTAAAGTTCAACTAAATGACAGCTGACCAAACAACAAACATCTTTGTTTTTTCACAGCCCCCAACACTTAATTTTAAAAAAGTCTTCCCATCCCACGAAACTGTTGCTTTTTACATAGCTTACTTAAATATTTTTAAAAATATAAATCAGTTTTGACAAAAATCTAAACACTTCACTTACAAATTTCTTCACCCTGTGTTTTTAAGTCCTCTCCCAAACTAGAGCTGCTGCCTAAACTTCGCTGGAATTCATGAAGCCTTTTATCCCCCTAGAGCTGTATCTGGCCTTTTTTCTAGTTGCTAAACTCCACTTGCCAAGTCCTAAAGCACTTATTTTAAATGATGTGCTTAGAAACAGCCACTTTGTGTGGCATCTCCTTTCACACTGCAATAGCCAGAGTTTACATGGGGCAAATGTAAGGCTGAGCCTTTGCCTCCCTCTGTACTTTTGCAGTGTATTTTTGCAGTGTGAGGCAGCAATGTGCTATTTTCCCCAATTCTACAGCTGACCAGTTGATATTTATGACTTGCTCAGCATCACAGAGGATATTGGAGATCAAATACTCCATGGTGTGTCCAAATATTCCTTGAAGGTGTGGTAATACTCTGTATTTTTAACCAGCCTTCAAGAGATTCAAATCCTTTTGCCAGGAGGTTCAAAGTGGCCATTTCAAGAGAAGCTTCATGATTCAAATAAATCTTTTATAATTGTTAGTTGGCTGTTCTGTGAAATTCTGGGATATTGGAGTTCCCTACTGGCCTGCAGAGCTGGGATGCTGATTTAGGAGTGGTCTGGGCTGCCTTTGAGCCCCGAGCTAGCTCTGCATATAAAACAATCCCAAAATAAGCATATACTATTTTAGAAAAGGTGACATAAATTTCACTACATACACACAGGCACAGAAATAGCTCCTGGAGCTGGTTGACCCTGCCTGTAACAAAATACCAGACTCTGCTGACCAGCCGGTGAAAACATAACATCCTTAGCCTCCTGACCTCCCTTTAAAATTGACTTTGAAACATTCTGTTGATCTATAAAAGAATAACAGAGCATGTAACACCTATGAGTTATTGATCTCTCTACTAAAATTAGACCCCTCTAACCCAGTGGTTAATATAACTCAGATAACTCATTGCCAGGTAATACCAGAGTCTGGGGGGAGCCTCCCTGGTTTGCCTGCAGTGGGTATTAAACACTAATCAATCTACAAAATGACAATAAACAATTATGAAAAAAAAACAGAATAGAAAAACCTGCAGATCCCTCTATGAAAAATAAATCTCTAAAGCCTGGTACTCCTGTGAAAACATAGCACTTGCAACCTGTTGACCCAGTCAGGAAAGTGTTTAAAAATTCACATAACTCCTATGTAATGTCCCCTTTCCCCAAGGCTGGAATTCCAGGCTGGAGAAGCTACCTCATAACTTGGGCAAATCAGCTTTTCCTCCTGAAATATTACATGACATCTGCCATGCCCTCTGATGACCCACAAGTAATTTAAAGAAATTAAATGTCTGTACTTTGGAGTTTCTTCCATTACCAAAATATCCCCTGTCCTCCTCCATCCCCACCATTCGCAGCGGTGAAATTAAGATTACTCACCTGCAAGAACTATTCCCTCTATAAACTTTGTAAGACTACAAATCCTCTGCCTGGATTGGGCCCTGAAATTTTTTTGGGGGATGGAAAGAGCATCCAGTCTTGGATGAACTAAAACTTGGATGTTAAAACCTTTCTGAATTTGCACGGTGCCTTCAGCAGGCAAGGGGTGCAGGGGAGAATATCAAATATAATATCTGTACAAATAGAATGTCTGTACAAAACTGACTCATAGAGGAGCCAACGTCTGAAAGTGGAAAACTGTCATTTCAAATCACTGGGAAATTGAATTAGCACATACAGCTGGAGATTAGCTGTCATTTAGGAAGATACAATCAGGGTCTGAAAGGCAAGATATGAATTGTCTTCCTTCAAATTACCTCAAGAAGTGTAGGAAAAAAAGAGGTATTTCCATTAAAATCAGGCACTTGGAGAACTCAGATATGCACCGAGCTCGTCAGACTTCATTTAGTTTTCTTTCTAAAAAGCAAATTGCAGTTTGCCTCAACAAAAATAATGAGCTGCACCTCAGGATCATTAGGTACTTTATCATAAATAGTTTTTTTTCATCACCAGTTTCACAAATTCGCTGTGACTGGGTGTTAGGTCTGCTTATTACTGCTTCTTTGCACAGCACTTCAAAACAGAGGGGCTGGATCAGGTAGGTCTCATCTCTTTGGGGCTTAACTGCTTTAAATTTCTGTATTGAGCTTAAAATCCCCCAAAAGTGGAGCCTTTGTGTGGCCATGCATCCCTTGTAGTCAGCTGCAGGTTACTGTTTTGTCACCTTCACTGTCCCCTCCCTCTCTCCCACTTCCACGTGCTCAGTGCTGGTTTCATTCCTGTTCCAGTGCCCCTCTTCCCATATTTCAGCTTCCTGGCAATTACTACAAAGGCCAGCTCCCCAGGATGCAGCAGCTTTGACTGAGCCATGGGGAGTACAGGGAAATTTGTGGTTTGAATTAACCCCCTTCCTTTGGTCCCCAAGCCAAGTGTCACTTGTGGAGAGCACATCCTTCAGGGCAGGAGCCACCCCTGTGCCTTCTTCATGGAAAAGACTGAAGCCCTGTGCTGTGAAATAAAAAAAATAATGCCAACTTCAGGCATGGGACTGGGCTCGTGGCTCGCAGCTTTGCAACCTCCAAATGACAACCTCACTATCCCATTATCCTCCTGAATTCTGATACCATTCTGCAACGCAAGGCAAGAGAAGAAATCCCTTACAACCTCAAGATTTGCAGATCCTAACACAACAGGGCTCTGAACTTGGTAAGGGTCCCTAGAGCCTGCTGCTTTCATACATCTCATCATTTAATAAAAGCTGCCTACAACCACCCTTTCTTTTGCCTCCAGAAGCAGTTGGAGAAACCAATGGCTTCTGTAACTTTTTCCCCTTTTTTCTTTCTTTTGGCTAACAGTCTTTTGGGAGAACAGAGATAACAGATTGGATTTTCTCCAGGATCATGACCCAGAGCTGATCAAAGGAGAGGAACGGAAAGAAGTGGAGGAAGAGATCAGAGTGCAGGTGTGCTTACAATAGCAAGAGGACATTGATCACATGCATTGCCTGGGTATATTTTTCTCCAGCTGTAAGAACTGGCCCTGGCATAGACCTTCCCTCCTTCCAGAGTCCCTACTACCTGTTCTTTGCTTGTTCAGCTGAACAATTGTCTGGGGTGAGGTGGCAGAGCCAAAAATTGAGGAAGATTCCTCTGTTTGTCTTGAGCAGGTGGATGAAGTGATGCGGGAGAAGCTGCTGAGAGTCAAACAGGCTGTGGATGGAGAGACAGGTCCTCAGGGCAAAGCTGGGAAAGACAAGGTAACAGCAGCAAGGTGGGAGATTTGAGGGGCAGTTTCAATTCCATCAGTGCAAACCTCTGGTACAAACATCAAAATGTGCCCCCTAAACATTTACTGAATCTCAAGTTAGGAACATCTGAAAAATCTCTTCACTTGTGAGTAATTCCAGGGCCTTCGCCATTAGCTCCTGCTCTTTAAGTTGTATAAATATTGCTTAGGACAAGTTAAGCTATTCCAGAGATAAATCACTACAAGATATTTCAGATTTTCACCCTCCTGAAATCCTTGGATGCAGTCAAACAGCAAAATGGAATCAATCCCTCTCTTTAGGCTGACCAGTTCACATTAATAGTTTTCCAAGGAAAACAGGGATCTGGAGGCCAGTGAGTTTTCCAGCTGCTGGCTGTTTTCCTCCTAAATAAGGACTGGTTATTATGTTTCAAGACCATACACCAAAAAATTCCCTCTGAATGTTTTGATGTAACCTTTCATTTGTCTGTAACACCACATAGATCACACACAGCCAGGTACTCATTAAGTTACTACATCCTATTGAAGGGTTTGGGAATTTGCAATTAAACCATGTTTATTTAGGCATAAAAAAATAGGTTAAACCCACCCCCCCAAAAAAAAAACCATAGCACATGTCATGTTCACATCTAGTTTTACAGTATTATCATATGAAGAATTCCACAGCTTGTGGTTCTCTAAAACTCCTTACCAAAGCATTTAAATTAGAGATCATGTCAGTTCAAAATAACTCAAAGCTTACACCCCACCACTTAATCAGCAGATCCACTTAAAACCCTCAGGGCAAATAGCCAACCCTAATCTCATGCTGTATTTCATTTCTGTAATACCTTTTAGCATGCAAATACTTGCTGTTGCTCTACTTCTACTTAAATTATCTTTAAAAATGTTCTTTCACCTGACAAACCTCCAGGGACAATCTAATAAGAAAAGACTGGGGCAGCTCTGAAAGCTGATCCCAATTGGATTCCTAAATCTGTTTCAAAAATAGGGGGGGAGGGCTTAAGACATACAGACAAAATATTGCAACACTCTCCCCCAGGTTTTCATGGGCAGACACATTTAGATCAGCTGGTCAGTACCCTGCTGCAAAATGCCACACTGGAATTATAGAGCTTTATGTTAGGGGCTGGGTTGGGGTTTTTTTCCCTTCAATGTAGTGTTGAAATAGCTTAGGGTGGAGGGAGATTATTTAACTTTTATCTTCCCAAGTTGTGCCAGTAGCCTGAGAGAATGAGGCAGGAAAAGAAGTACTAATTAGATAATAGAAATTCCTTAAAGATTTCATCTGAAAAAATCCCATCCAAGCCAAAACAGTTCTATTTGAGGAATGGAGAACGAAAGCAAAGAAGCAGTGTTAGTCAAAACACATCTTCCCTGTGCAAAGCCATTTAAAATGTCCCTTCAGCATTGGCAAAGGCTTTTTCCCATTATATTTGCATAAATATCTCAGTCATAAACCAAACCAGTGCATACCTGTGCACACAGACTGCAGATCTGCTTTAGGATAGCCTGCTCTAGATAATTAGAATAATATGAGCTGGAAAGTTTTGGAAATAGCTCATTGATTTATTATTCAGCAAAAAAAACCCTCTAGTTTTTCAAGCCACATCTGAGGTCCTATATGTCTCCCCTCAGCTATGCAGCATGAAATAACAGGTTCAGGTTCTCATTGGAGCCAGGAGTGTGTCTGGAGTTCAGTGTGAAACATCCCCCTGCCAAAAAACAAAAGCAGATATTCTGCATTTTCAAGAGAATTCAACATTCTTCAGAGAAATCAGAAAGTCTCCTGCATTCTGGCAGTGGGCAAGGGGAAATGAAAGGGTGATTTCTTCAGGAGAACTTTTACAGGTGGAATTTTGTGTCTAGGGACCATCATCCCAAATTCCTGATGCCACATTTGGCCATTCCTTCTGGTTTAGGGAGGGATTTCTTCTGCTCTCTTTGTCAGGGAATGTCCCTACCAGAGGTAGGTGTTCTGTGCTTTTCCAAGCCTTAAGATGAGTAGTTCACAACTCAGAAAATTTCTGTCAAATCCATATTCAAAACAAAACATCTGCCTGACCCACAGGAATGAATCTGACTTTTAAAGTCTCTTTTGTGAGAATTACAGCAAGGATATATTTTGGAACTGGACTCTAAAGGGAAATTTCTCCCTGCCAGTCAGTGTTCCAGACATCTCAGGTCTTAGATATAAGAAAAACAATATATAACATCTCCAGACCTACCCAGAGCCACCCCTTTATTTCTGTAAGTACTTTATCACTGATTCCCAAACCTTCAAATACCACTTACTGCTAAAAGCTGACACTTAACCCTACCAAGAGCTGCTCTTAGAGCTCCTGAAGATAAGAATCCCATTTGCCAGATTTGTGGAAGAATGAACTTGGGTGAAAAAATTGTTCTTCTCATGACAAGTTGGTCTCCAGAGCAGTAGGCTGATCTGGAAAATGCAAAACTAATTAGATTGCACCTAATACTCAATAAAGCACAGTGTTATTACTGGAGTCACAGATCCTGTGCTTCTTTCCAAGCTGGAAGCTCCCCACACCCAGACTTTGGTCCCACCTTTATGGCCCACCATTGACAGGGGACAGAGCAGAGTGTCTTGTTTGAGACTCACTTTGCTGGCCTCTGATTCTTCCAGAGAGCTCCTGGTCCCATGACTGTCACTGGAAAGGGGATGAGGATATAACAGAAACAGGAATGTGGGTCAGCTCTGCTGTAAATTGCATTTCCCTTCAGTTTGCACAGTGGCAGCTCATCCCCTGCCCAGCCAGGGATCACCAACCTGGGACTGGGAGCACTGGGAAAGGACTGGCTGAGGAAGGGCTGGGAGGGAGATGTCCTCTGAGTGAGAAACGTGGCAGTCACTGATCTGGAAGTTACATTTAAGAGCTTATCAGAGCTCTTTCTCTCAAGCCCATTGTGCTGCTTTTCCTGCTCTGTTCCCCCAAGGATTTATTTCTGATCCCCACTGCAGGTAAAGCAATGCATTGGAAATGAACACACCCACACATACACAAAGGCATGGCCAGAATTCAGAGGGAAAAAAGAAAAAAAGACACAGAAAACCCAGGAAAGGGGGACAAGAGAACCTAACTGTGGAAAACTTGCTTCTGGGCTAGGCGTCAACACAGATCTGGAGATCTCTTTTTGGTGGAACTCGGCAGAAGCAAAGAAAACCACAAATGGCTGTGACAAATATCAATAAGAGATACAACTATAACTATAACAACTATAACTATAACCAAGGAGGCCAAGAGAGAAGCTGAGTGAGAACAGAGGAAAGGCTGCATTTGAGGGCTCTGATTCCCAAGCCCTGCTGGATTTCCTCTAACTGCTGCACCCAGAGCCCTCAGCCAGCTGTGGGAGCTGTCATCTCTTTAGTTCCTAAATCCAACAGGGGTGGCAGAGCAGAGTCTTTCATTCAGCAAGTTTATGAATCAGTGAGAACATCTTTGTCTGAGCACTTTTTCTGTGTCAGAAGCTGCTTGTTTTATCTCAACAGTGCCAGAACAGACTTCTCAATCCAGGCCCAGTGCAAAGCTGCATTTGTCCAGCCTGCCATCTTTAGCATCTCACATGATCCAATGAATCCCCCAAAAAACTGCAGCAGCTGCTGCTGGTTTCCCTTAAACCACAGGAGCACTTTTCTCCTGTTACAGTTCCCCAAGGGAACCTACAAGAAACATGGAGAGGGACTTGTTAAAACAGCACTTAGGGACAAGGAGGAATGGCTTCAAACTGGCAGTGGGTTTAAATGGAATATTGGGAAGGAATTCCTCCCTGTGAGGGTGGGAAGACCCTGTAGAAGGTGTCCAGAGCAGCTGTGGCTGCCCCTGGATCCCTGGCAGTGCCCAAGGCCAGGTTGGACAGGGCTTGGAGCACCCTGGGACAGTGGAAGGTGTCCCTGCCCATGGCAGGGGTGGCACTGGATGATCTTCCAACCCAGCCATTCCATGACTCCTTGACCTGTGGTGGCTGTAGCTGCAGCCAGGGCTTGTGAGATCACAGCCAAAGGGTGCCCCAGATCCTCCAGTTTCAACACTTCCCTCAGGGAGACATTTGGATACCCTCTCCCTCCTGGTGCCATCCCAGCAGCAGCCAGTTCTCTGGAATTCGGTCTGAAATCAGGTTCTTGTCTGCTCCAACCTCTGGGCTACCCAAAACATTTTGCTGAGCCCACACAGCAGAGCACAGCCCTGTGTCCCTGCCAGCTGCCACCTGAGGCAGAGCTCACCCGGTGGGAGTCAGCAGAGCAGGAAATCACCCAGTCAAAGGATGCCTACACAGGAGCTCAGCTGGCATTTCAGGGAGAGCAGCAAGGAGATCTCCATTATAAATGAGCAGCGTGTTCACATTCATTAAACATTATCATTTCCTAAATAAAAGTGGTTCCCAGTAAGACATTTTGGAGACAAGCCATTGTCTACAATTCATATTTGCTCTTATCACATCTCAGCCTGTGCCAAATTCCCCACAAATGCTGTTGTTAATTAGGAAAACACATTTTTCCTCCACACAGCTCATTTTTGTTTTGCTCTGGAGTTACTTTATTGGTGAAGCTGCCTTGAGGACAATACCAGTTGGCCAATAAATTCAACATATGCTTAGTGTCTTTACATAGGTTGAAACAAGCTTTTCTTCCCAGTCAGACACAAATATATGTAATTTCTGGCTTGTTGGAAGAGAAGTTAAAAAGACAAAACAGAAGGAACAGCAAAAATAAACCAGTGACAGCTTTAATATTTCCACAGTTGTTAAAACAGCATGGCATGTGCTTTCTTCTTCCCATTCCTTTTCTTCAAAACAAAACCCCCCTGGCACATTTGGATGAATATTTGCTGCCAAACTTATTTATGTAAAGAAACCTGAGGTATAGTTCTCCAAATACAGAGTTGTTTGTTTTATCCTAACCCAAAACATCTCCTTTTCCCAGCAGCTGATCCATGTAGTGCTGGATTTAGGCTGTAGTTTCATCTGCATTGTCTTTGTGGTATCACAAACAGGAACAGGTGATTGAACCACGGGTTCCTTACATTGTGTCTTCCCTTGAAAACCTGAAATGGATGTATTCCTGAAGGCTACTGATCTATTCTGTGAAAAAGCCCAGCATTTTCCAGATAATTGGATAGGATTTTTTTAACTCAACAACACAGCCTCCAGAGCTCTGCAGAAGTATTCACTCCTACAAAAAAAGCAAAGTAAATGACTGTATTCCCAGGAAAGTGAACATAAACTTTTGGAAAGAATAAGCTGTCTTGTTCAACTAAGCATTTAAGCACGTGCTTAAATTTAAGCTGTTGGAGAAATCCCCTGGTGCACCAAGGTTTCTGCGTAAACAGTTCCATTGGAGCAATCCTGAGGTGCTTTGCAGGACTGGAGCTCAGACACCAGTGGTGGGCACTAACATGGATTAATGATGCCCTCTCCACACTACTAATTATCCCTAACCATATGTATGGCTCCTGAGCTGTAATTAATGGAGGGGCTTGACAAGCCTGAGTCACATCTTCCTTATTTATGTTTGCCAGGAGGTTTTTTTGTAAGGTGTAAAGAAATGAGGTACACGAGTCAAAATCTTTCTGTGGTGAAATTGTGGTGAAAAGATGAAAAGAGCAGGTTGTGTTTTTCTGACCTCTTCCAGCTTCTTCCCTGAGGCATTAGAATAGAGAAGGATGTCCAGTGTTTAGGAGGGTCACCAGAGTCTCAGGAGCTTTTCCCCTTAGGGAAGCTGCTTATATATTTTACTTCACTATATATCTATTTTTTAAAAAGGTATAAATAGTCTCTGGAGAAGCTACTTGAACCCCACACCCTTTTCCTTCCTGCTTCCTTCTTGAGCAAGGGCCATATCCCCCCTCACCCAGAGAACTGGGTACCAGAAAAATCATGGTATAAGAATCATACAATTGGAAAAGGTCTCTGAGAGATCATTGAGTCATCGAGTCCAGCCCTTAACCTGCACTGCCAAGGCCACCACTAAACCATGTCCCCAAGTGCCACCTTTTAAATCCCTTCAGGGCTGGGGATTCCACCACTGTCCTGGGCAGCTGTGCCAATAAAAAAAAAAAATTAAAAAAAAAAAAAGTCTAATATCCAAGCAAAAGGAAGGAGAGAAGCTTCTTCCCTTGCAGCAAAATGACCCTGGGATGCTTTCCTATGTAGCAGTGGCACTGCTGGTTAAGGATGTGGTTTTTCCCTTTGGGCTACATTCAAACACTGAAACATTGGCTTTTCTGGCCCTCACTTTGCTTCATTACATTCAAAAATATTTATCTGTGCTAAAGTCACTAATTTGTGGTTGCTTGTGTGGTCCTCAGGGAGGCAAGACACCTGCGAAGAAAAAAATATCTGAGCTGGAGAGAGATCTGACACCTGAGAGGTAAGGAGAACCTCTCTGAATTAGATCTCCAGTATCAGCCTTGGTTTTCCTCATCTTCACCGCTAAACACGAATTAAAATCCCCATTCTGCTGCCACACGCCAGTCCCGTCACCTGCAGGCAGGTGAATTGCAGTTTGCAGAGCCAAGCACACGTAGCATTTCAGCAGGAGATTGGCCCTTGTGCCCCTTTCCCCCTCTCTGCAGGTGCAGAAGCACCTGGCTGGTTTGCTGACTGCCAGATTTTCCATCCCAGCAGGGGGGGCTGCAGAGAGGCCCCTGCACTCCCCAAATCCCCTTCATGGCTGAGCTGTGGTGTGCATGCCACAAATCAGTCTCAGGGATCAATAAGGTCCTGGCAAACCTGGCCACTTCTTGTGGACCCTTTGAAGTGCTCTTATTTTATTTGGAGGATCTGAGAGGATTTCTTCTTCTGCCCTGCCATTTTCAGCGACAGTGATGTGTTCCCTGATAATCCATCTGTTTTTCACACAACACAGAGACATCACCACAGGGAGCAGCTGATCCAGGAGCAGGGCTGGAGACCAGCACAATTCCAAACACACAATCAGTGAAATTCACCCCACAAACACATTTGTACAAGAATAGCCAGACCTGGACTCCATCATTTGGGTGCTGGCACCACACAATCAGCCAATGATCTCTTTACCTGCTTTAAAATATATTAAAAAAAAAAAATTAAAAACACCTCCAAGCAAATATTTTTAAAAATCCATGTCTCGTGGATTATAACAGAGCAGGACCTCTCCTACAGAACAATGTCAAAGATTATATATTCTTTGCTTTTAAAACTGCTCTTGCACATACCTCCTTCTTTAGATATAAACTTACCATGCAGCCAGCTGAAAAACATGAACATTTTAGTAGCTGGCTTTTTATCTGGCATTTTGGTTCCCTGCTTTGTTCCTCCCTGCTGAGCATTTCAGAAATAACCCAGAGAGGGGCTGAATAACTGAGATTCATAATCTCCCTTTTGGCCCAGTGAAAGGGCACAGGGGCCTTCAGTCAGCAAAGACTGGTCACATCATCCTCCCTTGGAGGGGACATGCATCGTTTAACTGGCACAGTAAAAATAATAAACCAGAAAAAGTAGAAGTCTTGTTCCCACCAGAGCTGCTGGGTTAGTCCCATTCCACCTTCTGCCTGTTTTATGATGCATTCCCAACATAAAACCACTGAGGATGAAAGCAAGAGTCAGAGCAGCAAAATCAACCTTGTTGAAGGTGCATTAAATTTTGGATTTGCTTATTGCTACTCCTACATTAATTGTGACACTAAGACTGCATAAACATAAAACTCAGCTGAAATGGAAAAAAGGCTGCAGACCTCAAATTATACCTGTAGGTTTATTAGCCAGCTGAGAGGCACTATTAAATATATTTATTGTAGCCAGACCAGGACATCCCAATTAAGATAGGTGAGAAAGACAGAATAATTGAGAGGAAAGAATGTGAAAAGTGTGGAAAAACACTGAGAGATCTAAAAAGACTAAAATCAATACTGTTTACGCTGGTAATACACTAGAATTTCTGACAGGTTTATTCAGTTTACACATCATCCTGGAAGCAGTATTACTCTATAAAACCAAGGGCCAGAAATGTCATTGAAATTCATACTTAGAATTCCAAAAGAGACTGTAGAGAAGATCCACATCAATAGAAAACCAGACACGAATTTAAGTGTTTTAACTCCTTCATTATTGGGAACTACTTCCAGCCACTAATGGAGATAGGGAGAAACTTCCACTGGGGAAGTTTTGCGCATTTGATGGAATCCCAAACTGGTTTGGGTTGGAAGAGACCTTAAAGCCCATCCTGTGCCACCCCTGCCGTGGGCAGGGACAGCTTCCACTAGCCCAGGTTGCTCCAAGCTCCATCCAGTCTGGCCTTGGACACTGCCAGGGATGGGGCAACACTTCCACTGGACATTTTTGCCCCAATCCCCTTCTGACCACAACCCTGCAGGTGTTGGATCTGAGTGAGGCATTCCCAGTGTGTTCCCAGAGAGATGAGGCTGTCTGTTGCCAACACAATAAATTCCAAGAAGAATTAATGAATTAGTACTAATTGGAGAGCTGGGTGAACAGGTATAGTAGTGTTAGGATTGCCATTATTGTGTAATTTAAAAATAATTTTCCAGTAATTGATATTAATGAATGAGTCCATTACACAAGTCATAACTGATCTGGCGTCACCTGGAAATGGGTAAATGGAGCCAGCAGGAGAGGGGAACTCAGTGTGTGAGGGAGGGGAAAAGATTCCTCAGCACAAGACAGAAACTGTGCTTATTGATTTCACACTGATGACACTAATCATGCTACCTCTGAGCCACAAAAGCCATTTATAAAGCTGGGCATACGAGTAACTCTCAGGCTGGCTCAGCTCTGAGAGCACTGAGCTTTTCCTGACCATTTCTGAGTGATGTCTCTTGCCTGTAGGACCATTGATTCCCTGTACCAGGAACTTGCAGAAGAAGGATTGCTCATGCAAGTCAAGAATGTGAATCTCTCTGACTACATTGGTAAAGTATCCCTTTTAGAGCAAACGTGGTGTTTGATCAAGCCCCCAGCCATTCCACCTTCACTGACCCTACTTCCAGTCGAGACTGAGTTCAAGAGTCACTGCACTTTGAATCTCTAAAGCCAGGTATGCAAATCAAGGCTGCTCAGGAGCTTTCACTTCTGCTACTGAAGCCAGGACATGTTTGCAGAGCTGGTGTTTAACTCCAGGCAGCAACACCAGCAGCCTTCAATGGTTGTGGATCTCACAACCACTCTGAGGTGGAACCAGAACACCCTTTAAGGAGCCCTTGCCAGGCAGTGGCAAGACACTGCAAGTCTAACAGAGCAGGGCTCATCATCCATGCAGAATATTTCCCAGAGAGCAGCAAAAATTGCACCTCCAGCTTTTGTTTTCTTTTGCAAAGACTCAGCCCCTTCCCTGCACCTCCCTGACTGCCCATGAACTTTGAGCAGTGCTTTGAGGCATATCCGGCCCTTCATTTGAGTAAGATGTGTCTCTGCCTAGTTCTGCATTTCACACTCCTCTTGTCTGGTTTCTGTTAGCTGCAACTGCTAAGCCAGACCTGCTTGTCTATGCTCTACAGAGGAAAAAAATGGTAAAAAAACCCCAAAACCCACATTTTCAGACTTTAGAGAAGTCTAACACCATGTCCACAAACATTTGGTCACACACAGTGAAATCACAGCATCTTAACAGCAAAAAAAAAAAAACCCAGGATTGAGGTATTTCGAAGGCCATGGTTTGAATTTGCAGCTATCCAGAAGTAGAAGTGCTACAGGCTGATAGTACAAGGCCAAGGCAGAAAAGAAATGCTCTCCTATCACCCCCAAATGCCATGTTTATACAAACTCTTAGAAGCACCAGTTCAGCCTCCAGACCCTCTGCCCATTCCTCTGAAGAGCTGTCAATTCTCTGAATTACGTGTCCCATCCCTTTCATGCTCATTAAAGACCACCAAGTAAAGGAAGATTTTCATTCTTCTTCTGTTCTCCCAACCTATCAAGGTCACTTTTGTCCAACAAACATTCCCCCACTACAAATGTTTTTAAAACAGCACATCTCCAACCATTTTTTGAAATCCAAGAAAACTCTCTTGAAGTGTCCAAGGACACAGTCAAAGCCTGCAGGGCAAGAAGCCTTCATCTGCTCAGCCTTCCAGGCTGGAGCCGAAGGAAGGTCACTTCCAGTTCCTGGGGAAAGGACAAAGAGTGGAACTGTGCTACACAGCCAGTACAGGCAACTAAATGTCCCCCCTCTATGACAAACTGACATCACTGAACTAATTTTCTTGGTGACCTTATCTAAATTAGTCAGAGAATATCCACTGTGATTTATGTGCAGTTGCAATTAAACCCTTTGATGCCTTCTAATTAAATCTGTGAAGATTAATTCCTATCCCGTTCTTTTGATTTCTCCTTAAATAAAAGATAAAACCTGAAATTAATTTTATTCTTCAGAAGGGAGGGGGCAGTTGCACCAGGGCTTCTCTGCCTTTTTGCCCCCAAATTATCTCCACTTTTGCTCTTAACCGCTGCTAATTTACCTCTGCTCCAGAGATCTCTTGCTCTCTGCCTTTTTATCTCTAGTAAAACATAACATATTATTATTTTCCAATAATAATCACCATAATGACATGTAATTTATGCTAAAAAAAATCACTGACTATATCACAACTGGTTTTCCTGCTTGTGGCCCAACCTCTTGTATCTTTGTTCTTCAACATTGCTTGGATGTGGACTTTGACAGGGTAAGCAATGTGATTATAGCTCTGCAACCAGAGCCAAGGCAAGATTGAATCGTTTCAGTTCATGTCAGGGATTTTTCGTTTTCTTGGGTTGTTTTGTGGAGGTTTTTTTGAACAAAAGGGGAAAAAAATAAAAAAGAGGTGAACTGCAAAGCAGAGAGCCCCACCAAATGAGGTGACACACTTACATGTCTAACACAGCAAGGAGCCGAGATGGGACCCAGCCAGGGAAAAGCTTGTTAAAATAGCTTTTCCCCCTTTTTGAAATCCTTCTGAGAGCTCATGGTTCACTGGGATTCTAGCCCTGCAAAATCCCAAATCCAGGAATCCTTTGCCAGCAGCGTGATTTATGGCGCTGCTAATGATTCTTCTCCACAAAGTTTCTTTAAAAGGTTACTCGAAACCGTCTGGTCTCTGCTGAACAACCTCCACAGCCTGTTCAGCTTCAATTTCCCTTTGCACTTCACCTTTCTCAGGGCCACATTGCACCAGCATACTGCCCAGCTTGAGTCCCTGAGCCTGGTTTTGCTGGGCGTGTGTCACAGCCCTGTGCTGAGGCACACACTCATTCCCTGAGTTATGCTTTCTACAACAACAGTGTCACCTTTGCTGAGCTCCTGCTTCCTCCTCACAGGCTACTACGACTGTCTAAGGAACGTCCTTCGTGAGACAGGTGCCCAGCCCATGCCCTCCATCCCAGAAGTCAGACAGCTCGTGGCACTCTATGGAATATTGCCCTTGGGTAAGAGCACACCAGAGGGCAGAACACCCGGGGCTTTGCTTCTGTCAGAAACCTGCATTTTACTGGCTTTGACAGGGTTGATTAGTGGTAATCTGAAGCATTTTGCAGTCTTAATTGTTTTTCAATGAAGCCTTCAGAGTGAGGGCTGGATCACTTTAGCAGTGCAGAGAGGCAGGTATCCCCTCCCCAGCCCATCTCTGTTTGCATGGCAACAGTTTGTGAATGGCAGCACATAAAGGGAATCCACTTGGGAAAGATAATAGCTAAAACAAGCTCCAGTGATCAAAATTAATCAAGTTAAGGGAAGGGCTAAGGTTGCAATTTACCTTTTACAAGCTGGCTAACATTACTCAGTGCTGCACAATGCAATTGTTGGAGGAATTAGTCTGTATACATTTTGTACATGGCAGAGAACACTTGTAAATGCCCTTGCAGTTTTAATGCCAGGCTTAGCCAATAGCTAGCAAGGCTTTGCTAGGTCAGGTTGTTTGCCTTTTGTGTAAAATCCATCCCATATTTCACTTGGGAATGGCATTATGCCAAACTCCAGTGATTGCAAGAAGTGCCTGTCCTCGGGGGCCTTTACTCAAAACCCCATTTGATTCCCTTTCCACTCCTGATTGGATTTTCCAGCCTCAATACTTCACTTGCATCCTTTTCCATTCCTGAGTGGATCTCAGGGAGATTTTAACTCCTCCAGTCTGTGCCAGTGTCTGCTCATCTGCTTGAGAGGGCAAGAACACCAAGATCTCCCTGCCTCCCACTCTGGAACACAAGCAAAGCTGACACAGAACTTCTGGTTTTCCCTCCTTCCAAAGTGCTCACGTTATTCTCTCTTCAGCCTGGATGGGGCTCTTCCCACCTGGAACAACACTCTCAGGTGGTTTGGGGTAAGCCCTCAGGGGCTGGCTGAAGTCTGACTGCAGTCAGCTGAGTGACTTCAGCAGTTATCCATGTCTGCAAAATGTATTTCACATATCCCCAAACGCCTCCAAAGCTGTGTTTTGACACCATCTGATCTGAAATGAAGCCCTGAGACACCCCTTAATCAAGAGAACCCATAAGTTTTCTGTCATTTATAGTATTGGCAAAAATTCTAGGGAGAGGAGACCCCTGGACTAGTTAAACAAACAAAAGGTGCTTGCAAGAGCAGCTTGAAAAATGCCTTTGAGTAACAAAAGATATTACATGAGCCAAAAAAAAAAAAGGTACAGGAATGGTTTCACCTATGCGGTGATCTGTTACAGATGACATTTCACTTAATTGGTCTCCAAACTAGTTCATCATGAGATAATTGTGTATCACAGAAATGAAAGTTTTTCTCAAAATAGCCACCTATGGCAAGGAAAACCCCAGCTTAAATGGCATTAAGAAAATTACAAGCAGCTGAAAGGAGAAAGAATAGTAGAAGCTATACTTCATCTTTAACACAGAGGAGTCTGCTGCTCCCCTCCTAATAAATCTTTGTGCAATAGTAATGGATTGCTATGGAATGACCAAATATTAATAAAGCCTGGGTGGCTGACAACTTCCTACACCCTGCACCACGCTGGAATAATGGCATTTGTCTCCGTGCTCAGTTCCCTGTCATTTATTTGGGATGTTAAACCATTAGGACACAGATAACCACCCTGATTGCATTTGTTTTAAACAGCAGCCATCCCCATTAACCCAGAGGGTTTCTCCAGCCTCAGGCAAAAGCTCCCTCTGCAGCCCATCAGTTCTGGAGCCACTTTCACTGCCACAATCTGATGGACACCAGGCTGAGGGACCTCCAGATGTAGTGGATGCTCACAGAGGTTTTTCAAGCACATATAAAAACCACCACTATTGACACAGCACATCTTTAGGCATCGAGGCAAAGTGGGCATGGACAAAACATTTGACATTTCCTGCTACTTCCACCTCTGGAGTGCAAGTAGCATTCCACCTATCCCCGGTTCATGTGGTGGTAGCTGCAGGGAAGACGAGTTCCATCCCCATCAACCACCTAAACCTGACTGTGCCTGTGTTTTCCCAGTGGTGAGGCTTTCCCAGGTGATGGATCATATTTGTCACAGCCCAGGATGAATTTACCTGTAGCAGCCATGGAGGCAGAGTGGGAATGCTGAGCAGTCACAGCAAAGGAAGCACAGCAAGCCTGGCACTCGCATTTCCTCTAGTCTCAAAATCATTCTTTTAGCTCACATGGGTTTAAAAGTGAAGTTTTCCCATCAGACAAGGGTGGATGAGTCTTGTTCCAAACAGAGATGTTAAATCTGCTGGGTTCTCACTATCTCTGGTTATACAGAATTGAACTCAAGAGCACTCATGCCATAGGAAAGAAACAATTAATTCACATTATCAATTATTTATGGTGAATAAAAAAGGAGGAATCATTCCATTACCTTTATGGCAGATTTAAATGAAAGCAATAATAGTGCCTTATGACTTTTTACAGGTTCCCAAACTGTCCATGAGAATGCTCCTCTGGTGAAATCCCTGTTGCTGGCAGGACCTGCTGGTGTTGGAAAGAAAATGTTGGTCCATGCTATCTGTACAGAAACAGGAGCCAACCTCTTCAGCCTCACTCCTTCCAACGTTGGGAAGTATCCAGGCAGGGATGGCCTGATAATGATGCTTCACATGATTCTCAAGGTGTGGTTCTTGGGGAATTGATTCTTGAATTCAAGAATTGGTTCTTGGAGCTTGGGCAAAGCTGCTCGACCCAATTTGGAGTTCCTTCCCTGCCTTCAAGTGTTCAGGAGGAATTTCTTTGTGGAAAGGGCTGCCAGCTCTTGGCAGGGGCTACCTAGGGAGTGGTGGGTCCCCATTCCTGGGGGTGTCCAGAGAGCAACTGGATGTGGCACTCAGTGCTCTGGACTCATTGAAAAGTGGTGATAAGTCAAAGGTTGGACTTGAGCTTAGAGGTCTTTTCCAACCAAAATTATTCTGTGATTCTGTGAAACCACTTGTTGACAGCCAGTTGTGCAGCTCTGCAGAGGATTTAATGCCCCTGGAGAAATCACTGGGAGCAGCCATATTTTTCACATTAAGATTTATGGGAGCTTTGTGTTACCTTGGATATGAAAAGCAGCACAGATAAAGAAAATTCTGTTCTCTGTTTATGTGCACATCAGCCAGGAATGCTTGCCATGCAGCATTTAATCAAATGCTAGGCTGGGGGTGGTCAGAAATTTCCTCTCTGGGGCTGTTGCTGGACAAGAGCTCTCTCCCCTATATTGCTCTCTGTTTACCTATCAGCAAGTTCCTCAAAAGAAGGAATCCTGGTTCAGGATTACAGGAACAGAAATGTATGAGAAGTCTGGAAATGAAAGCAGGCATATGAACTGTGAAGAACACAGCCCAAACCCTCCTAAAAAAAAAAAAAAATTTTAAAAATACACTATCCTGGCAAGATTTCTTCCAGATTCTAAGTCCTCAGCATTTCTGTTCTGGATGGGAGCTGGTAAACATTTCCAGACAGGGAAAAAAAAAAAAAAAAGATAGGAAAAAGCCAAAGATAATCTTTTTCCACTGCCAGTGGTCTACTAAAATTGGCTTTGCTGGGGATTTATCAGCTGTATTTTATGGAATGTGGTGTTAGAGCAGGTTTTGTGACAGGTGCCTCCATTCCCAGAACAGCCACGAGCAAAGAGGCACTGCCAGAGGAGGGGTGGCAGTGCTGTGATCAGACCCCTTTGATGCTGTGCCACTGACACTGGGCCTGGCACTCCCTGGCACGATTTAGAGCCATTATCCTGAGCTAACAGTCCCTCTTCTCTGCACAGGTCACCTCTCTGCACTTCATTTCTCTGCCCTCGTCCATGGCAGAGCTCAGCTCTGGCTGCAGGCTCGGCACACACTGTCCCTGCTCTCACTGAGTCCCAGCTAGAGCACAAGGGCTTTGAGCACAGGTGAAATGAGGGAAGCCTTTGTACTCCTGAACAAGGTTCCAGCTGAAGATTGCAAGGGTTTTTTTTTGTATACTTGCACATAAATAATATGAACAGTAAGAGGAGTGTCCATAAAATGTGTATTTATACACATTAATAAGCATATATACACACATCATGTATACGTGTGCCTACAGGTACATACAAACCCCTACATTTTTCCACATTAATTAAAAATAACTTCCTCAAAATCATGGGGAGCAGTCCAAGCTTATTTCTCTCTACTTAACCTCTTGCAAAAGACAGTGACACTTCAGTGAAGCCCCGTGAGTTACTGGGATGGAGTTGCTCATAATCCCATGGAATCAGGGCTGTCCGGGGCTGTTGTATTTTCCCAGTGGTGAGGCTTTCCCAGGTGATGGATCATATTTGTCACAGCCCAGGATGAATTTACCTGTAGCAGCCATGGAGGCAGAGTGGGAATGCTGAGCAGTCACTGCTGCAGGCACAGCAAAGGAGTCACAGCAACCCTGCTTACCTAAAGGTGACTTGTTCCAACTGCAGCAGCAGCACTGCTTCAAACTCTGCTGTTCTCACAGCACAGCCAATGGCACAGCACAGGGTTTCTCTTTCTTGGCTGTTCTATCCCTCTCTGTGAGGGCCCTGAAACCCTGGCAAGGGGTGCCCAGAGCAGTTGTGGCTGCCCCTGATCCCTGGAAGTGTCCAAGGCCAGGTTGGATGGGGCTTGGAGCAGCCTGGGACAGTGTAAAGTGTCCCTGCCCGTGGCAGGGGTGGCACTGGATGGGCTTTAAGGCCCCTTCACCCCAAACCAGTTTATGACCCTGTGACCCAACACTGGCCTGGCCTTGCAGCATTCAAATTCACAGTGTTCCGTTTTCATTCCCAGTTCCTGTGGTTGTTTCACCTCTCCCATCACCTTCTGTCCCCATGGCTGAGTCACCAGCACATCCCCATCTGCTGAGATTTCAGCTCAGTTCCTGTAGGTTCTCAGAGCCAGGCTAGAAACAATCCTGCCCCCAGACAGGCTCTCACCTCTGCAGTGAAATTCCACCTCTTTATTCCTGACAATGCCGAATGTGCCTCATTCCCCCTCTTTCTGTTCAAGTCCATGCAGAACTAACTCAGCCCAATACTTTCCTGTACCAGCAAGAATATAGCAAACACCTTAAAATAATCAATTATTCCCTGTTATTGGGCACTTATGAGACCACAACTGGACGTTGTATCCAGTATTGGGCTGCCCCGTTCGAACAGACCTTGACAAGCAGCTCCAGAGGAGAGCTGTGGAGATAAGGGGCTGGAGTGTGATACACATCTGGACAAATCCAGCTGTTTGGGGCTAAAATAAAACTGGAGTGAGAGGGAGTTTAGCTGCTGTTTTCAGGGTTTTCATGGGATAACACAGATAATAGAGTCTGACTTTACCCAGAGGTGCACAGAGAGGAGACAAAAAGAAACTGGCACAAGTAGCAACAAAGAAAATTGTGTATTAAGGAGAAAGTTTAATGAGGAATCAGAGGACAAGGAATCTCCTCTATCCTGCAGGAATTTACTGCTACCCAAGCTGAAGAAAACAACACACATTCAAGACAAATTCCTTGACAAGAGAAAAGCTGAACAGTGGTAACTATGCTCCCCAAAAAGTTCATTTTTTCATCATGGTACAAAAAGCTGGTTATTTGAATTACTGCAAGACTGCACTGGACAGTGGCACATGTGGCAGACAAACCATGGATGTAGTTGGTAGCTTGCAGCTGACATTTTATATTTAATATTCCCAGCTCTCAGTCTTACCTGACTCAGCACAGTAACACTCATCTGAGGGCCCTGTGTGCAGAGATCACTGAAAATGCCACAAATCTCCATAATCAGACACTTCTGGGCAGGTTTTTTGGAAACAGCAACCATTGTCAAGCCAGCTTTGTACTCCAGCTTCCCAGAAGTGCCTTTATGGAGAGTTAGTCAAGCAAAAGACAGACCTGCCACTGCAAGTTGTGAGTGAATGACAGGAAACGTGACAGTTCTTTGCCTCTTATCTTCTGATCCACACAACCACTCTTAAACACCAGGATTTAGTAAATAAGGATTAATGGTGCTCCGTGATAAAGGTGAAGTCACCTCACACTTTTGATTACCTGTCCTATGTGCAAACAAAAGAGTTTCTGTAATGAAAGGAAACTCTGGAGAGCAGAAAATGACCATTAGGAAACTTTCCTTCCATAACTGAAGCGTTGGCTGCTGGCAGTTGTTTCGTGGGAGACGCCCTAAACAAGTGAATAGGACTGGGGAAAAAAATGAAACTTTAATTTGTTTCAGATGCAAAAGCCAAGTTCTTTCCCCCCGTCCCCTCCCTTTTCAGGGAGACACAGCAGCCCCGATCCAAGAGAGGCTTGAGTGTTACTCCAGGCAGGCATTTTTATGTCATTCAGAGGAAATGACTTCTCATAACAGAGCAGGAAAACACCAACATTTCAATCTGCCTATTCAGAGGAGATGTAAGGGAGATTGATATTGAATAGGAAAACTATTGAAAGAGGCTGCAAACACCAAGCTTGAGCACTTGTGTTCTCCAAAGAGCAAATCCTGCCAAGTCAGCTCTGCTTCAGAGCAAAAAGGGGAGGATCTGTCTCCAGCAGAGAAGCACTTCCCAGAAATCCCCCCCTAAAACAAAACTCACCCTTGAAGTGTGACCCAGAATATTCCACATTGAAATATTATTTATTTCAATAAAACATTGAAATATTATTTCAATATAATATCATGTAACAATTTAAATGTAACAAAATATTATTTAATATTTTTATATTAATTGAAATTAAATAATATTAATTTAAAATGTGAAAATATTGAAATTTCAACATTAATTGAAATATTCCACACCGGAAGCCCCATTTCTCAGACTGAGCTGCCAGCTTGTGCCAAGCAGTCTTTTGGCTCTACTGCGTCCCCATAAAATACAGGAAAGATGCAAGGAAGGGCAGGGAAGGAGGCATGGAAGCAAAATCAGATCCAGACAGGACGGTGGGGAGAGGGGAGAATGCACAGCTCAGTGCCACAAAAGCCCAGGTAGTTCAGAGGTTTAGCTGCAGGGCAATAAAAATGACAATCACGGGCAGCCAGGGGTTAATGACTAGCAGAGGGACACAGCCCCTCGCAGGGCTCATCCCCTCTCCAGGGCCACAGAGCACACAGAGAGCACATTGTGCCCCGAGCCACACGTGGGAAACCTTATTAGTGCAGCCCTGGCCAGGCTAAAAGGTTGGGAGAGAGGTGGCCAGGAGGAAATTCCAGCAGGGAAGCTGTGTGTGTGTGTGTGTGTGTGTGTGTGTGTGTGTGTGTGTCACAGCTCACTGTGTGCTGTGCAGGGCCATTGAGAAAAATATTGGCCAGAAATATTTCAACACCACCACTGCTGGGGGACTCTTATCAGCCTCTTTGCGACTGCTCTTCAGCAGCTCAGAGGTGACTATACAAAGGTTACACCCAAAAAAGAGATCTGATGGAGTTTATTTTGATTAAATTATACAACCCCAGCATTTAGAGGCCACAGAATTTTAAAGCCTGCCATTAATTTAATTTTTTCCCACTGATTCATGTTCATTTGTTCATAACTGCTGCTGTATTGTCCCTTCAGCCATGCCATTGTTCTGGCAGGTTGAGGAGTTTGTCCTGGTACGCTGACAGAATTCTGTGTGTGATTAGCATTTCCATGCCACCAGACTCTCCCACCTCAGCTAAAATTTGGGAACAGTACAGTGAATCTTTCTTCCAGCATCCAAAACAATTCTGCCCTTACTGCAGCTCAGCCTGCTGGAACTCTGAGATCCTTGAAGTGTAAAGTATCAACAGGGCTCAAATATGCAGTTATTTCTATGAGAAAGCAGCCTGAACCTGTGCTACCCTAAGGTTAAAAATTAAATTTATCCTGCTGCAAGCCATTTTCTGCCTCACAAACCAGAATACAGTGGCATCATCACTCGCACAGGAATATTTACCTGGTGATGATAAGGTCTAATACACTGATAAGGTCTAATCACAGGTTTCAGTGCAGCTTTTCTGGGTGTATAAACTACAGATCATTAAGCAGTATTCAGCAATAACTTCAGCTTCCAAAAAATCTTGGGTCTTTAAAAAAAATTTAAAAATCCATCAAATCCTTCAAGTGCTGGGCAAGAATCAAATTCCTGCATTTTCAAGTGTAACAATTTAACTGTTAAACTCTGGCTCCCAGGTTTTAAAAGTTGAACCCAAGGCTTTCCAAAGTGCTGTTTGATCTTTGATGACTCTTGACAGCAGGATGAGAGGGATTTTTTTTTTTCCATAATGGTTTTCCCAAAGAGCAAATCTCACTCAGTGTGGTATTAGAAGGGTTAAGGGGCCATCTGCTGGCAGCTCCAACAAATTGTAGAATTGCAGCAAGGCTAATAAAATTTCAATTACAAATTAATTACGTACAGTGCATTTAATTATCCATGGATTCAAACTGTCCGTGGATAATTCAAATGGAGCACTTTCACAGGGGGATATACAGGCAGCTACAGATCTGCCAACAATTTAAATTAGATGTCAATGGATTCTGGGAGTCTCATCTGGATTTCCAGGAAGAAACAGCCAGACTCAAACACAGTGTGTTGAATTGGGTTATATTAATGTCTATTAACACCTGAAAAATCATGGAATAATGGAATGGTTTGTGTTGGAAGGAATTTAATGCTCATCCCATCCCACCCCTGCCATGGCAGGGACACCTTACACTGTCCCAGGCTGCTCCAATCCCCAGTGTCCAACCTGGCCTTGGACACTTCCAGGGATGGAACATCCACAGCTTCTCTGGGCAATAAACACAGGCAGGCCATTTTCTACATTTAGCTCTTTGCCTCAAAACAGAAAACACAGCACATTCTCTCTTTAGGAGCCAAAATTGAGATTATTCATTATATTTCCACTTAGTAGGGAAACAAAGGGGGCAAAGAAGATGAAAGGTGTGCCAACAGTGAGCGTTCTCCTGTAAGAGCTAAAATGAAGGTATAACCTGATTTCAGACCTCAGGCTGCATTTCAGGGGGGCTGCTCACCACAGAAACCACAGAAACCATCTCCAAAGCAAACAAGGAATATCCCCTCCTCCCAGCCTGTGATGACCCCACCAAAAGGACAAAGAGACACCAGAAGTGTTCAGCCTCTTCCAACAGCTTTTGTAGCCTCTGTAACCTTCCCCCACCCTTATTTCCCTGTCACATCCCACTCCAGCATCAGGCACAGGCACTGAACAGGCCCCTCAGGGATCTGATACCTTTTCTAATATGTTGCTTTTATTTTTCTTTTTTTCGATCTTCACTATTAACACTAAATATTTGAGTTCCTGCCACCCACCAAAGCAAAATGCTCAGGAAGGACACTGACCTGTTGGAGTGAGACCACCCATCTGATTAGTGGGATGGAGCATCTCTCCTAAAAGGAAAGGCTGAGACAATTGGGATTGTTCAGCCTAGAAAAGAGAAAGGCTTTGGGGTCACCTTAGAGCCCCTCCTGATGTCTTGTGAAGGCTGACCTAGAACAGAGGCTGGACAGTTAAAGAATAAAGTAGGGATTTATTAGAAGACCTTAATGGTTACACCTTGGGCAGCACAAGAGCCCAGCCAGGGCCACACCCAAAATGAACCAAAATGGCCACAGAATGGACAACTGGTCACAGGGTCTCTCACTTTGATAACTTCTGCTCCATTTGCATATTGGAGTTCATTGTCCAATTCCAGCTTTAGCCCATGCAGTCCCAACCTTCTTGTTTTTCTCTCTTCAGTCCACGTTGTTTGTGCTCTTGGCCTGAGATTTGGATCGTTTGTCCTTGGTCCCCAGCCACAGAAGGAATTGTTTTGTCTCCCTGCTCTGTGAAGAGAGCTCACCATCCCATAACAGGATACCCAGACCCACACATTAAAGCAGCACAGAATCTGAAAAATAGAAAAGCTAAAACCTGAGACATCATTTCCAGTGCCTGAAAGGGTTACAAGAAAAATTGAGAGAGGCTATTGACAGGGGCCAGCAGGGACAGGACAAGGGGGAATGGGTTTAAACTGACAGAGAATGGGTTTAGATGGGATCTTGGGAAGGAATTGTTCCCTGTGAGGGTGGGCAGGCCCTGGCACAGGGTGCCCAGAGCAGCTGTGGCTGCCCCTGGATCCCTGGCAGAGCCCAAGGCCAGGTTGGACAAGGCCTGGAACAGCTTGGGACCTTCCACAGAAGGTGTCCTGCCCATGGCAGGGAGTGGGATGGGATGAGCTTAAAGGTCCCTTCCAACCCAAATGATTCCAGGACTCTCCAATCCAACTGTTCTGGACTTGGAGCTATCACCTGACATATTCTGGGACTGACCAGTTGCCAGCCATAAAAGTGTCACATGCTGAAGGTGGCATTGCTTCCACACCACCCCATCAGCAGCACAGCAAACAAAGTGACCAGCCCTTGTGTCCTGTGCTCTTCCCCATCCCCAGCCCACCCCTCCTGCACACACACAGCCATGAAAATCAGCTGCAGTGCTGCGAGCAACCATGCTCACAAATTCATTCTTCCTGCCTGGCTGTCAATCAGACAGGAGCCTGTGATGTACACAGCCCGTGGGTTTTGTAAGCTGCCTTCCTGGAAGCAGCAGTTTCAACTAGGGGGAATTAAAGGGAAAAAAAAGAAAAAGGCAGGATGGAAGGATGCTGTGCCTCTCTCTCTCTCTCTCTCTCTCTCTCTCTCTCTCTCTCGTTACCGCTGACTCCTCGAGCCGTCACTTTTTGTTGCTGAGCAAACTCTGAGAGCCACTGGAAAGTGATTAAAATTTGGCAGCAGAATGTCTAAACCTCTGGAATGGCTCAACCTCTGGTGTTTCTATAGCAATGGGGAAGAGTGCAGGATGTGGAAAAAGCCTGTAGCATTGCTGCCATCCTGCTGTGAACCAGGGGTATCGTGCCTCTGATTTTGGAGCAGGAAAACCCACTTTTGGGCAATGCCCCCACCCCTCCTTCAAATTTAATTCTTGGGCTTGCTGCAAATTAAATGCTGGAGTTTCAACCAAAAGATTGACAATCTGCTTTGCTTAATGATAAGTGCCTTCCCTCTCATGCAACAGCCATGCTTTGCCTGTCTCCCCATCCAGAAAACCAGGGTGAGATCCCAGCCTCAGCCTAAAGCTGCTCTTGGACCACGACTTTCCATTGAACACCAAATCCAAGCTTCCTTTTGCAGGAACACAACTGAATTTGCGCTGAGAAATTAAAGATAAGCATAGCAGACAAAATGATCCAGTTTGGGGTGGGCTCTTAATGCTCAGTGCCTAAATAGAAAGAGCTGGATTTGCCAAGGCTGCTGAGCAGTGCTATCCATGATTGCTGAACATTCCCAGGGATAAAAAATAAGCCAGGCTAATTGAGCTGCTGAAATCTGGATTCAGAAGCACAGTGACATGCTCCCAAGTATGAAATTGCAGCTGTTTTAATCAGCTCCTTGCCTTTTCTCCCCCATTTTCTCCTAGGTGGGTAAGGAATTGCAGCCTTCAGTTGTGTGGATTGGAGACACAGAGAGAGTATTTTCCAAAGGGGCACCGAAGGGAGAAGAAGAGGTGAATTCTTCTTTATTTCAGTGCAGATAATTTCTCCTGTTGCACTAGAGCCCACACAAAGGATCATGTGTATTCCTTAGCTTAGCACATACCACTATGACCAGACCTGCCAAAGCTTGCTTGATAATAGCTTCTCACTAACTTTTTTTTTTTTTTTTTAGCTTTTAAGAGAGTCTTGTGACTTCTTAAGAGCCCCCAAGAGGTCACATTTCTCTCTTGCACCTATCCTTGCTTTATTTAAAAATAGTCCAGTCACCGCTCATCAGTGCACTAGAAAGTAAAAGGGAATAATGGAGAATTTCAAAATATGAGGCAAGAAGCTAAAAGTTGAGATGAGCTTAAATTGTTCAGCTCTATTAATTTGAGAAATTGGATGGAGCCAAAGTGAACAATAAAGTAACAAGGATAAATTTCCACTGCAAAAACAAGGAGCCTGTGTTAAATAGTTACAATGACAGATTATTTTCTTTGGGCTCCCAGGAGTTCTAATGCCATTCCTTCCTCTCCTGTGTGGCTTGGAAAGAGAATTAAAATACTGCCCCATACTCACAGCATGGAGCAATTCACCCCACTTCCTCTTGCCTGCAAAATATTTTGCTTTTCGAGCTTTATGTGAAAAATTAAACGTTTTATCTTAGAGTGTCTGTGAGGTGGTCACAAGCCTGTATTTTGGAAAGGCAACACAAGGCAACCCAACCTTGGCTGGGGCTGTTCCTTCTGCCAGGGCTGGGTGAGGTGATGGATGTGCAGTGATCCTCAGAGGTGGTGCCTCAGGTTTTAGCTTTTCTATTTTTCAGATTTTGTGCTGCTTTAGTGTGCACTTCTGAGCTTCAGATTAGGGGATGGTGAGCTCTCTGCAGAGTAGGGAGACAAAACAATTCCTTTTCTAGCTGGGGACCAAGGACAAATGATCCAAATCTCAGGCCCAAGAGCATAAACAATGGTGAATTGAAGAGAGAAAAACAAGAAGGGTGGAACTTCATAAACCTAAAGTTGTAATTGGACAATGGACTCCAATGTGCAAATGAACCAGAACTCATAAAAGTGAGAGACCCCATGACCAGTTGTCCATTTTGTGACCATTTTGGTTCATCTTGGGTGCAGCCCTGGCTGGGCTCTTGTGCTGCCCAAGGTGGATCCATGGAGGAGATCCTTTTAATAAATCCCTGCTTTATTCTGTAACTCTGCCTGGCCTCTGTTCTAGGGCAGCCTTCACAAAGCATCAGAGGGACCCTCAGTGATCCCCACAACAAGAGGGAACCTTTCTCTTGGGTTCAAACCCTGACAGAAGATGCAGATGGGGATTAAAATTGAGATTAGGTGCCCAAAATGGGCTGGATTATTCATGATCCTTGCTTGCTTTGCCATCAGTGTGCAAAATTTTCTTGTCCTGCCCACTTCAGAGTCAAGGGTATCTCCTCTGCCCCTTGTACCCATCCCAAGACCTTCCCTTGATGGGAGTGTTGGCTTCAGGCTTGGAATCCACACATCCCAAACTGTTCACAGCACATCCAACACTTAGAGGAGAGAGCATGAACCTGGAAGGACAGGCAGAAGTCCCTTGGGAGTGCTGGAATTTTGGAGAATCATGGAATGGTTTGGGTTGAAAGGGGACTTAAAGGTCATCTTGTTCCACCTCCTGGCAGGGGTGGGGATATGTTCTACTAGACCAAGCTACTCTCAGCCCCAGCCTAAAAGATGAGCTAAGCTCAGCCTTCAGAAGCCAAAGCAAGTATCAGGCACTGTGCTAATGCCAGGGTGACATTTGTGCCACCAGGACTGAGGGACAGTTCATCCAGGAGCAAAACTATGGGCTGGCCATGTCACCCTGGCTGTGCCCCAAAGGGGGCCCTCAGCCCTGGGGCTAAGACATGCTCAACTCATTATCTTGATTAAGTAATTGGCACACTTGGAAAATTTGGAAACTTGGAAAATTGGCATGACCATGAGAAGAAAATGATCCACCAGATGCATTGTGTTAAGTTTATTTAGGGAAAAAAAAAAAAAAAAGTGCTACTCTACCCCAAAACTTGTGGGAAAGCTTATTGATTAACAGTAATGACACCACAGCAATCTGATTAGGCTTCTCCAGCCAATATTCACTTGAACATTATCAAATATAACCCTCCAATAAAAGGTTCTGCTCAATACTCATCTGTTCTGTAAGTAGTAGTTAAATATGTGTTACAAAGTCAAGTAGTAAATTATTGCAAAGAAATGAACTCTGAGCTCCCAGAACCTTTGTTCTCAGAGCCTCAGCAAGTTAGAAAGCATAGAAAAAAATAGGGAGTGTAGTTTTCACACTTAGAAGTCAAGAAAATCATAACCTCCAAGAGCTGGGAGGATTCCAAACTAGGCTACAATTTTCTACCGTCGAGGTTCATCAGGTGTGCAGGTCCTTGCAATATTTCTCCTTGAGCTGGAAGCAAAGATTTCCTTCTTTAAATTAGTTGCTCCCTTCCTGCCTTTGAATAACTAGACCAGTAAATTCAGTAGTGAAAGGCACTGGCACGAACCCACAAAGCAGAAATCAAGTGTTTACCTGAATTTGAGGAGGCAGAATCTTCCTACTTGTGCTGATATCTCATCAGCTCATATCAAATACAAGCAGAGCACTAAAAAAAACCCCAAAATCCTGTTGCAGGCAGCAGGTACAGCTCCAGCTCATTAACTCGGAGCTGTCAGCATTGTTAACAAGTCTCTCCTCTTGTTTCCACGTGCTGCAGGTGAACTTCAAACGCCTGGCAAAGCTCCTGCCCCAGTTCCTGAGGGCTCTGAAACCCAAGGACAGGGTTCTGCTGGTGGGCACCTCCAGCAGGCCCTTCAATGCCAATCTGGGACCTTTCTGCAAAGTTTACCAGAAAATCATTCTCATCCCGAAGCCTGACTACCTGACGAGATTTGGCAAGTATTTCAGTCATCCTCGTGGTTAATCCTACTGTTTAAAATTCCTGCTTGTTGCCTGGTTATGCTCAGAACTGCCCTTCAGCTCAAGTCATGCCCCTGGTGTGTCTCAAGTCCTGAAAATGTAGGTTAAATCATAACAGTCTGCTCCAAAGGCCAAATAATAAAAATGGAAGCTGGGAGAAGAGTTTAAAATACTTTTCGCCAGCAACTCACATTTTTCCATGAGTTTAGTGTGCACCAAGCTCAGCCTGAGCTGTTTTTTCCCCTATTTCAGCACACATTTTCTATTTTAAGCTTTTCTTTTTTTAACACAGGGATTCTGAATTTCTGGTTCCTGTTTGCAGTTCTGAATTTCCAGTCTCCGTACTCCCATGCTCTAAACACCACAACGTCTCAGCCTCTCCAAAACCAAACCATGTCAAAAGGACTACATTTTCTCTCTTACAAATTCCACTTTGTGTGCTTGCAGATCACAAGAGAAATTGTACAGGCATCCATGATTTTGCATGTCTGGTCTATCAAATGTTTACAGTGATAGATAGGCCCTTCCAAATTCTGATAAAATCATTGAATATTCCATGTACTGAGACTCAAAGCTTGTAAGGAAAACATTTTTTTTAAATAAAACAAACCTCCAATGTTTTGAGGTTTTAAGCGTCCTGAAGTCTGCAATAAACATCAATAAAAGAAAATAGATTTGGCTCAGGGGCCTTGCCACACAGGTACTCTTTCCTGTGTCCAGTGTCACCTTGTTACAAAACTCTTACAAACACATTGTGCAGTCCAGTTTCACCCTGCATCCCTCAGAGGCAGCCCAGGTAGCCAGGTGATGCACATTTGGGTGGGCCCAGGACAGAGTTTTGCTGCCTAGCACATCGTAAACCTCTCCCACATTCCATCATTTTCCTGCTGTGGATGGGAAATGGTCACCAAGCAAGGGAACATGTGTTTCATGTTGGGTTACAGCTCTGAGGAATTGCTGAGAGATAAGGAGACAGAGCAAAACCTAGAGAAAGGAGGTGACAGCAGCTGAATTTAGCTGTGCTCACTTCTGGGGGTTGAACTGTCACATTCTGGGACTCTCACCACTAACTTGGAGTCCTAAAAAATAGCCAGCTCGAGGAATTTCAACTGCACACTTCCAAATGCCAAAAAAAGTTAACTTGTGGCATTTTAAAGCAGAATAAATGTGTAGCTTTAATTCTTTGTGTTGCCCCATTTCAGATAGTGCCTGGCTTGTTCTTCAGCTCCAGCCTTCCCTGAAGTTCTATGGAAATAGGCTCTTCACCTCCCCATCCTGTCAGTTTTCAGTGACACCCCATTTGAGAAAGACAGAAACTTGTTTTGACAGAAAAATAACGAGATAACAAATACTTGTAATACACAGTGCACAGCTACCTGTCTGCTGCAGCCCTCCCTCTGGTTACAGACCAGAGTATTCCAATCTGTGCTCAGTGGAAACAGTAAATATACAATGGAAATCATTGCATATATTGAAGAGTCACAATCCCATACCGATTTCTTGCCATTAATCACCCAGCAAGGCAGTGCCCTGTGTTACACACCTGCACCAGGAGCTGCAGCACACAATATCTGACTGTGTGCATCAATTCCTCCTTTATGAATTAGTGATTCAGCCAATATTTATTGAGCACAGGCACGATTCAAGTGAGAGACCACAAATTGCTGGAGTGAGAAATGCAGTGCAGAGCTGTCGATAGTTATGGGCTCAGCCCGTGGTATCGACGTCCAAGGGGGAGCAAGGCAGCTTTTCCAGCAGCACCAACCTCCACCCAACATCTTCATGCTACATCTGAGCATTCAAGCACAGCAGACTCAAAATGTCTCATTCAAGAAACTTTTTAACCTCTTACCCATAATCCTCCCAATCTTTTCCAAATATTTCTATATTATGCTTTAAAGCAAAGCCTGAGGAGGCAATATCAAAGTTCTCCTAAATTTCTCTGAAACAGAGCCTTACTTAACATAAAACAGACCAAAAGATTGGTATTATTCCTGTTATTTGGAAGCAAAATCTCAGCCACTTCACAACCCCAAAGAAACCAATCAGGTCACAGAAGTTTACAGCTAAAAGACACAGCCAAGTTCACCTTTCAAGTAACCAGCAAAACCCCAATCACAGAAAATTTGCACCTTGCAACACGTGCCTGATAGCTGGAAGCCTTTGGGACATGGAGTCACCCCAGCAGCCCTCAGCTCAGCAGGAATAAGGTGTGATGAAGGTCAGAGAAATAAAAGCAGGCTGTTGGTAAATGTACTTAACTCTGCACATCCAAATGGGAGCACTGGACAGGTTCTGTGTGCACACACAAGTAGTTCTTTCCATTTTTACACACATACCCACCCCACTCTAACTGCCCTTAATGACTTGCTGAGAAGTACTGACTGGTGGCCAAAAATTATCTGTAAGGGCTTAAAAGCACACATGCCTATGCTGCAAATCTGAAGAGGAAAGAGAACACACAAAAAAAATTTTGAATTTCCTGATCGATAGTCCTTATTTTCTTTTTCCAGTATCAAAATAGATAATAAATATATTTATCCTGCTTTCCTTGAATTGCTGTGTTTACATTGTCTCTTTTCCATGTCCTGATGCTCAGCACTGTGGAAGCACTACATCCTGCAGCACGGTGGGACCCTCACCAGGCTGGTGAACCTCAACTGCCTGGCCCAGGTGTCGGATGGCTTCACCCAGGGCCACGTTGTGGACGTGGTGCACACGGTGCTGACTGAGCTGAGGCTGCTGCAGATGGCCAGGAAGCCACTGAGGACTGCTGAGTTTGTCACTTCTCTGGCCAGACACGACCCGGTGTACAAAGAGGAGGAAGAAGCGTTCCAGGTGACTTCCAGAGCTCTCTTGCATGTCTTTTAGCATTCCCTGCCATGTCCAGGCACAGTTGATGTAGGGACCTGCCCACTGTGCTGGTGGGTTGGCACCTCACTATTTGAATTATGATTTAGGGCTCAACAGCACCAAAACCCATGTCTCCCAATCTGGGATGTGCCAAACCAGTGCTTATTTTGACAGGACAGCTGGCAGAGTGCTTTGGTGAACCTGCTGCTGCTCAAGTTGAGCAGAGTGGCCTCCACATGCATGGATAAAACACACAGGGGCCATTAATTCCATGCATTTCTCCTTTTCCTTCCAGAGCTGAGGTGCTCAGCAAGCCTGGATAGATCACCTTGAGAAGGCAAAACACCTGGCCATTCAATGTCCAAGATCTAAGCCCTTCTTTTAAATAATTTCAAACAATAATTTCTTCAAAAGTTCCCCTTCCAGGCTTTAAAATAAATTAGTTTCTGCCTCAAGCTCCACCCCTCAGGGCTATAAAATCCTGAGGGTAAAACTGAGAGCATTTGAAGTATATTTTATTCACTGGCACAGGATGCCCAGGGAAGCTGTTGCTGCTCCTGAAGTGTCCAAGGCCAGGTTGGATGGGGCTTGGAGCAATCTGGGCTAGTGGAAGGTGTCCCTGCCTGTGGCAGGGGGTGGGATGGGATGAGTTTTTATGTCCCTCCCAAACCAGTCTGTGGTTCTGTGATTCCACACATGCCTCAAATACCCCTGGATCACTTTCAAGCCTGGTAAATGCTACCAAGTCCTTGGGCACTGGGCAGAGCCCTGCTGTGCCCCAGGCAGCTGCAGGCAGCCCACACCAGGGGCTCCCAATGAGGCAAGACCTCTGTGCTGCTCCAGGACACCCCAAAAGAGCTTTCTCCATCCCATAGCCCCAATAATTCCTACTGCTTCTAAACCCCCACTTTTCCTGGCTGGAAGGTTTCCTTGTTGTCCTGCTCCTCCAACATCCCAGCACCTCCACCACAAGCAGGATGCTGATTCTCACAGCTTTCTCCAAGGCTTCTCCCACTGTTGACCCAAGGATAGTGCATATTTCTCCCAGCCCTGCTGAGTACTTCCCAATTTCCATTTAGAGCCATTTGGCTCGCTCAACACAGGCAGCATTTGTGATATTTGGCAAATTACTCTTTTTTTTTTTTCCCCTCATGTTTCCTCACTAAACCAATATCTCTCCTCAGGGAAAGGCTAATGGTTCAGTGCTACAGCAAAAGGGAAAAAAAAATACTCCATCATTCCTAGCTCCAAGTAGTAATCCATTTTGTACCCTGAAACATGCAAGTATTTAGTGTAAGTTTGACTTGAAAACATTATCCCTGTCACTATAAAATGTGCCTGTTCTGTACAGCACAAAGTGCCCAGGCAGCCTTTCATTTGGAGCACAGCTCAGATGATCCTGTCCTCAGCATCCCATGGCAATCATCTTCTTGCATTAATTACAGCCCTTAAGAAAGTATTTCCTTTCATCTGTTGAAATTTTGTTTCCCTTAAATGTCATGGAGCCTTGCTGCAGCACCTGTGACATGGCACAGGGGAGGAGGATTGTCAAAATAGCCTTGTGCATTAATTAACTCCAGTAATCCCCATCTCTCCTCACACAGAAGCCCCTCTTCCCAAGCTTCCAATCACTGCCATTTCTGGACCTTTCCCTTGCTTTGCCTTGTCCCTTGTGGAAGTGGGGTAGCTAAACCCCTGTGTTCCAAGTGAACATTAGCCCCGTGATGAATCTTTGATGTTTCATCCCTGAAAGCATGAATCTCCCAGTCTGACATTTATATTCTGCCAGTGTTGCAAAATTAATATAAATAATGCAAAATTGGTGACAATGTGATTTCTCCTTTCCATTTACTCAAATTTCTGCCCCAATTACACATTCACATTTTTTGAAATTATAAATTGGTGCACCAGGGTCGTTGATACAAATCCTTACACAGAAAGGATTTCTGGAGAGGTAAAGCCAGATCACCACACCAGTTCTGACTGGACCAAAATCATGGAATGGTTTGGGTTGGAAGAGACCTTAAGACTCACCTTGTTCCACCCCATTCCATGGGCAGGGACACCTTCCACTGGACTAGGTTGCTCCAAACCCCATCCAGCCTGGTCTTGAGCACTTCCAGGGATGTGGCAGCCACAGAGATACCTAAGAAAACTCATTCCAAAGCCTGTGGACATCATTCCTCCAAAACCCAAATATTTTAACATTGATAAGTCACTGCTGCCAGGAACTTCCATTCCCAGTTCAGATGCTGGTGATAAACAGGATTTTATTTTAGCTGTGTCTGAGGAGTTGACTTCATTCATTTCATGGAACAGTTACACCAGTTAAAGAGACAAAGTTACTGTTGTGCAGTGAAATATTTGCACAAATAATTGGGAAGAGAACAAAAAGAGACATCCCAGATCTCTTGGCTTCTCCTGCCAAATGCCTCGAGTCCTTTGCCATTGACCCAGAGCTGGCAGGGAGATGATCACCCCACCAAACAGCTCTTTCACCCCACCAAGCTCCCAGAAAGTTCTTGGCAAGGCTTTCCTACTCTCTCCACCTCCCACTTAAGGTCTGGAGGATGTTACACCCAGAACACAAAACTGAGGGGGAAATAAAATCCCTGTGGCCTTGTGGAGTCTCATCCAGGGCCAGAGACGTCTTGGCTTCCCTCAGCTACTGCCAGGGAAACGCAATTCCTGCTGGAGCCCAAACTCACAATCACCACCTCATCCCTCTCATGGGAAGGGCCAGAAACAGGAACACATCCCAGCTCTGTGGTTCTCCCAAAAGCAGGAACAGTTTGGCCTGGGACTAAGGCAGAAAATTAAATTTTACTGAGTGCCACAGGGTTCCTGCCCACCACCATCCATGCCCTGCCCAGATGTGGGCACACAGGAGGTTGGAGGATGTTTTTATCAGGCTTTTTGAAGGCAAGATGCTCAGCTAATTCAGATAATTAAAGCAGAATTGCAGTGTCCAGCAGCCATCTGGACGTTTGACCCCATCTTGATGAAAAGGTGACACCAAGAAGGACCATCTGGGGTCAGGAGAGGAACATGCTGAGTTTTCCTTCCAATACCTCTTCTCCCAGCTTCTCTTCCTGTAACACACACTGGGCAACTGGACAAGGCAAATTCTTCAGGGATGCCTTAACAGGCTCAAGCTGGGAGCAGGATTTGGGGTGGAGCAGATGGAAAAGGCAGATTTTGCAGGACGCCACATTGAGAGGGAGCTTGGAGATGACACAGGCAGAGATGTGGCATTAAATAGCAGCCCGTGGTCAGGAAGGAAGGCATTTTATCAATGCCTGGCAGAATCTGCATCTCTGGTTCAGGCAGGACTTTGCTGAGTGAGGTTCTTGTACACACAGGGAAGGAGTAATTCCCACCCAGCGCTGACTTTACAGCCTCCCCTTCTCCTTCACTTCCCATTACTCTCACACAGCCTAGAGCTGCCTCCCTGACACCAGAGCCCAGGAGCTGGGCAAGTCTGCAGAGCAACTGCACCAGAATCATTTACAAGTCACAGGCCTGTGAACAGGCATCTGAAAGCAATAAACAGGTTCTTAATGTTGGGGGTTTGTTTTGCTTCCTAAGCTCCCTCCTGGAAATCAAAGCTGTCTGCATCGATTTGCAGAGGCACGAGAAGGGGATGATTTGTCTGTTGCCAAGTCTGGAGCAGAGGGAGCTCTGACAAGAGCTATATTCTCTGGAAATAGGGTTGATCATGGAATTTAACATTTCCATAACTATAGCAACACAAATGGCCCAGCTAAGTATTGCTGTTAATGAGACTCAGCTCGATCAATTGCTGCACTTCTTGGGATAATAATGTTCTCAAGAGATCTGGGGGTTTCATTTTGGCTTCATCACCAGCCAGCCTGGATTTTAAGAGGTTTGGGTTTTTAAAGGAATGCTCTGTTAGAGTAGTAAAATGTTTAAGTAGTCTGACTTGCCCTGTTTTGGTTTTTTTTTTTTTAATTTTATTAAATGTTTTTTGGTTCTCCAGGCCTGGTATGCCAAGACCCCGCTGGGGAAAGCATGGAGCACAGCACAGGCAGCAAAGGAAGAAGGAAAAGAAAAAGGAAAGAAAGGAAAAGGGAAAGGGAAAAAGTAACTTCCTCAAGGAATTTTCACCTGGCCAACCACCATACCAGTCACAACTCTATTTCTCTGTGAAGGCATGGCAGGTTAATGTTATAGGTATTCCAGGGAAGAGAATTCCTCTCCAAATGAATTTTTAAAAGTTAAAAGAATTTAAAAAGAAAATCAGATGAGATGTAACATGTAGCTCTCAGAGGATAAAGAGTTAATGACCACTGACTTGCTCAAGCATTATTTATTCTAAGAGATTTTAGGGGGCAGAAGGGTTCATTACTCAGGCCTGTAACATGCCATCAACTTTTAGGCCATACTCATTTATTTCAGCAAGTAACTCTACTTAAAAATTGATGTCACTTTAAAGTCTTTCATTACTTTAATATCCTATATGCTTTATAAAACTAACTGCTTTATATATCTGTGGGTCTAAAGCGTTACAGTCCTCAATAAAACTATTACAGCTCTAAAGACTGCTTTTTAATTGGGATAATTTAGGAGGCACTTAGTGCAATCCACCACAAGCTGAATATTTACACAGCTGCAGGAGGAACAGCACTTGCACCTTTTGAGGCCTTAGCACAGACAAATTCATATATGTGGGGATCAGCAGAAAGAAGCCAAGCAGCCAGGTGGTAATTTGGGTGGATATCCAGCAAAATCTGGTTTTAATCTATTTTGCCATAGAAAATAACGCCTAATTAGCTTGTTTGCACAAACAACAACGTGTTTGTTGCTTAATGCACTTTGTTTACTTACAAATCAGCAATTTTGAGGGCAAAGGATTTATAAGGACATGCTAGAGCTTTGGGACACCCTACAGCACACTGATGGAGGCAGCACAGGATCACATTCACCAAGATCTTCTCTAAGTAAGAGCCACAAACACCTGGTTTTCCCTCTGGTCACAGAGTTCCTGTATGGACTTGACAACAGGTACCTGGAAATAGAGAGCCCAGCATCCCCAGGGAGCTGAGGAACCTCTCTGTGCCTGCATCAACAGCCTGGGAGGTGCAAGCTGGGCAGCACTGCTGGGAAGGGGATGGTATTGAGCCCCTTCTGCTCCTAAGAGGCAACCAAATGGAAAAAGGCACTCCTGGGAACAGGAATGCCTGAGAAAAAAAGCCTGGGAGGATTCCTGGGTGTAACAAACTGCACAGAAAATTATTCAAGCAGTTGTGTCACTGTGCACGGTGGAGGGAACTGGATGGGTCTGGCTAATAAAGGGAATTTTCTCCCTATAGGCTGTCCCAGCACATGGGCTAGAGCCATCCCAGTTTGGGATTTCTGTGGTCCTTTCTAGCTATGTTTTACACTCTGTTACAGGGCTCCCCACGATTTCACCCTTCCAACCCCCAGGCTGCACCTCCAGCCCCACCAAGGAGATCCAAGCAATAACAGAGGAAATTCTTGTTCCATCTCCTTGTGCAACCCCTCAGGACATTCCTGATGGACACCAGCCCTTCCCCCAGCAATAATCCAGCTGCTGGAATCCCCACAAGACCCACACTAGGGGCTACCAGCCCCTGGGTTCAATTCATGGCAACATGCAACTACAAATGTCAGCTTTCCATCCCTTATTCTTTGGAGCAGGCTGTGGGTACCCAAACTCAGCAGCACACCCCAGTTTTATCAAATAGGGCACTTCTAACTTCATCCTTGGAGAGAAAAGCCAGGCTCTCCAAAGAGCTGACAGGGCTGATGTTTAAAAACCCCTCATCTCTGCTCTCATGCACAAGGAAACTAATTTGGGTAATTCTGCCCTCAATCTTGCCGACAGCAGAGCCCTCCTCTCCACACCAGGTCTGACAGCACGGCGTGGTGTGATGAAAGGACCACATTTCAGCAGGATGTAAGCAAGCCCATTAACTCATATTTCAGCAGCCTCCCTGCAATCTCGATAGCAAAGGAAAAGCAGCTGACTGGCACCATCCATCTCCAGGGCACAGTGCCCACCCCAGTGCAGGGAGGATGCTGAACTTCCACAGACCTGCAGGCTTCACCCAATAGGCATCAGTTCATGGGAAAAAAAACCAACCAAACAAAACCCCCACAAAACCAAAACCAACCCCCCCCCAAAAAAAAACCCCAAAATGACACCAAAAAACCCTCCCCCCAAAAAAACCAAACCCTCTCCCCAAAAAAACCAAACCCTCTCCCCAAAAAACTCCCCAAAGAAAACAACAACAAAGCCCCTCCAAAAAAAAAAAAAAAAGCCTAAAAGCAAATAAAAAAGGTAATTTCTCCTTTAGGTGCAGCTTGTGCTGGTGGCTGCTTGCATTTCTTTCTTTCTGTGAGGATCTGGGAGCCACAGCTGGTTTAACAAACAGCTCCGTGGGTGCAGGAGGTGACAAAGTGATGGTGAAGTGTCCCAGGCCAGGTTGAACAGGGCTGGGAAGAACATGGGATTCTGGAAGGTGTCCCTGTCCATGGTGCAGGGTGGAACTGGATGAGATTTAGGGTCCCTTCAACCCAAAGCATCCCATAAAACAGAAAAGCTCTGCCCTGGGGGGCTGCCAAGCCCTTGCTCTCCTCTCCCCTTCTTGAGAGGACAGGGAGGGAAGAACAAGGAGCAATTTTAATGCTGTTTATTATTACAGAGAGGACAGCTACTTGAAAAATTAGTTAAGCAGCTGCATCAAGCAGAGCCAAAACACAGAGTAATTTCAGTGTCAGTGGCTGAATTATTCAGTGAGTGGCCCTGGCTGGATCTCCAACTCCCTTCCCACTGGGAGGCTCCCACAGGAACACCTCTAGAGATGCTCCTCCAGCATCTCCACCAGAGCTCGTTCATGGAAAGAGGTAAGAAGGTTGTGGCTTTGCTAAGCCCAGCACAGCTGCACTCTGCTTTCCAGCCATGGCATTCCCACAGTGTGATGGAGGAGGACAATCCTGCCTCCTCCACCCAGCCAAAGGGGAGCTCTGAGGGACAGCAAAGAGGGGCCAGGCTTCTCTGCCTCCTGGTGTGGAGGTGGAAGGCAATCCAGCAGCAGCAAAGTTGAGAGAAGAAGCTGTCATGCTCATTTATATATGGAAGTGATCTAGAGAATTATCAGCTAAATTATTTAAATGTCCCATTACTATTAAATTACTGGGCATTCATTGTAAGAACAGTCATAATACAGTAACTAATTTGGTATTAATGTGAATGTCAGCATTTCATTGCAGTTATTTTGTACTTCATCATCAGATAATTTACCAATAAATTAATTGGCTTAATTGCTTCCTGCAAACCCAGGAGAACTACATATGACATGACTTTTATAAAAGTCTTCGTGCTCACTCCCCCATCCTCCAGTTTGAACCACACCGAGCAGGAACCCCTCTTTGGAACACCTGGAAGGGGGAGCAGAAGAAATAAAGTCTCGGCATTTCCCTGCCCTGTGCATTTTAATGTGCTTTCAGTTTGGACCCCAAGGCCATGCTTGGAGTAGGACAGGACACAGGGAATGGCTTCCCACTGCCAGAGGGTGGGGTTGGGTGGATATTGGGGAGGAATTTTTCCCTGGGAGGGTGGGGAGGCCCTGGGATAGAATTCCCAAAGAACCTGCGGCTGCCCCACCCCTGGCAGTGCCCAAGGCCAGGCTGGATGGGGCTTGGAGCAGCCTGGGACAGTGGAGGGTGTCCCTGCCCATGGCAAGGGCAGGAAATAAATGACATGAGCTGCTCTGCCTCCTCACCTGCCCCAAGGCAGGGATGGGAGTGTTGGGGTCATCCCTGCCTGCTGACAGCTCCAGCCCTGGCGCTTCAGCTGCAGCACTAAAACTCTGTTTTAAACAGAGCTCCCACCCTCCTTTCCCCAAAAGCTCACAAAGTTTTCTGCTGTTTCTTCTCCAGGAGATGTGGGGGAAAGACTCCATCTAGAGCACAGTGGGAAAGGACAGCTCTTTCCCCGGTTCTGGCTGTAAATGTTTTAAAATAAGTGCTGAGCGCTCTTGCAGAAGGCAGCAGGCTCAGAGCTCCTGCACCACCAGGGGTGGATCAAAGGCACTGCAGAACACGGAGCCTTTCGTGGTGCTGATTTCCCTGCTCCTGTGCAGCTGCAGCTGCAGCAGGGAGCACAAACACATCACAGCATCCCTGAGAGGGTCCCAGCACAGCACCTGCGGCAGCCCGGGACTGAAGCTGCCATCAGAATTTAAAAAATAAGCCTTCGTTTCTCAGCAAAACCCCCCAAATCTGGTAACACAAAGTGAAGCTGACTGTTCTATTAACTCCCATCCTGCATCAGCAATTTTCTAAAGTGTGGAAACATTATAATTGACTTTTCTGCTAGTAGCAAAATGTCATTTTTCCTTAATACTCCCCAAGTCAGTAACACATTTCAAAAGCCTCCGATGCCACTACCACAACAGGACTTACAAATTAGCACATTTTTAGCTTTTCATTAAACACAATGCCAAAAAAAAAAAAAAAAAAAAAAAAAAAATAAAAAAAAAAAAAAAAAAAAAAAAAAAAAAAAAAAAAAAGC